GGGGGCCGGCGCTTCACCGCCCGCTGACAAGGGGCCGAGTTGAGCCACACGTCGCATCTCGTGCAACCTGCCACTAGAATAGAGCTCCCGAGCTGCCTCATCCAAAACCCCCCCACGAGCTCCCCGCTTGCACGGCCAGCAATCATGGCTCTGCGCGCGGAATTCAGCACCGAGCAAATCCGGGGCAAAGCGCGCAAGGACCTGCTCTACCTGCTCGAGGGTGTAAGTAAGGCTCACTGTCTCTGTCTGGGGACCTTCCCGGCTGCTAAACACACAGCTTGACGTTTCTGTAGGTCCGCGGCAAGAAGAACCTCGTGTTTGACCGCAGCCTGGTCGGCCCCATCGGCACAATCGTCAAGGTTGCTACGCTTCAAGAGTATGGCGTCGATAAGTTCTTCATTCTCGAGAATAACAACGTGGATGCGAGCCAGCGCAATGTCGTCTTTGTGGCTCGTGGAGAATGCGGCCGACATGCAGAGGCCATAGCAGGTAAGATACGGGTTGCGGTGCGATATGATGTGGTAACCAGTTCTCACTGGCCACATCGAATGTCTACCGTCGTGCGTGTGAAATCGAAATCAAAACTACTAGCTAGCTACCCGGTGTAGTTCTTGTCCTGGCCGAGTGAGCTGACGCACATGTGCCTCTACAGCTCAGATCAAACGAATTCAGCGGGAAAGCCAGACGACTCATGATTTCCACATATTCTGGGTGCCTCGGCGCACTCTTGTATCCGACCAACTGCTCGAGGAAGCTGGCATTCTCGGCGACGTCAACATATCCGAGCTACCACTGCTCTTTTTCCCGCTTGAAGATGACGTCTTATCGCTTGAGTTAGAAGATTCCTTCAAGGACCTCTACCTGTCCAAAGATATCACTCCAAACTTTCTCATGGCCAAGGCACTCATGGAAGTGCAGCAGAACCATGGCTTGTTCCCAAGAATCATTGGTAAAGGCGACAATGCGAAGCGGGTGGCCGATCTCCTCGTTCGTATGCGTCAAGAGCGGCTGGCGGGCGAGAATGGAAGCGACGTCAAGACGGCACTTACCCCCAGCACGACCAATGAGAGCGTCATAATTATCGATCGTGAAGTCGACTTTGTCACCCCGTTGCTCACGCAGCTAACATATGAGGGCCTCATTGATGAGATTTTTGAAATTCAGAATAACCAGGCCAAGGTTGACACGACCATTGTGGGAGCACCGGCGCAGTCTTCCGCGGCCACATCACAGAGCAGAAAACGGACGGTTCAGCTCGACTCCAGCGATAAATTATACGAGCAGTTACGCAATGCAAATTTTGCCATCGTGGGCGGGCTGCTCAACAAAGTCGCGAGACGCCTACAAAAGGTCCAAACTGATTACGAGAGCAAGCATAAGACCAAGACGATTGCCGAGCTCAAAGAATTCGTGAGCCAACTACCTGGCTACCAACAGGAACACCAGAGCGCGAGGATACACACCGGTCTCGCCGAGGAAATCATCAAGCACACGCGGACAGATCTATTCAAAGGCCTCCTGGAGGTTCAGCAGAATCTAGCTGCCGGTGCCGATCCATCGTCGCAATTTGACGGCATCGAAGAGCTGATAGCCAGAGACGCTCCCCTACGAGAGACGCTTCGGCTGCTCTGTATATACTCGTGCATATCTGGAGGTATCAAGCCCAAGGACTTGGAGCAATTCAAACGCCTAATACTTCAAGGGTATGGCTATCAGCACCTCCTCACGCTCAACAACTTGGAGAAGCTCCAACTATTCCTATCGCGCTCATCTCCACTTGCGGGTATGATCCCCATGGCGGGGAATTCTGGTGCTGACGGGAACAAAACCAACTACACGTATCTACGAAAGCAGCTACGGCTGATTGTCGATGAAGTGCAAGAGGACGATCCCAACGACATCGCATACGTGTATAGCGGCTATGCCCCTCTTTCGATCCGACTGGTACAATGCATCCTTCAGAAACAGTACCTGCTGTCTATAACGAAGGGCACCGTCTCAGCGAATGCTGGCGGCGGTGCTCCCGGAGCAGGAACACAAGGATGGCAAGGATTCGACGAAGCTGTCAAGCACGTTCGAGGGCAGACTTTCTATGAACTTCAGAAGGGCGAGGACAAGGCGGTCAAGGCAAGGGCCCTCTTGTCCGGCAGCGGACATAAGCAGACAGTCTTTGTGGTCTTCATCGGAGGAGTCACGTTTACTGAGATTGCCGCGTTGAGATTTATCGCGAAGCAAGAAGAAGGTAAGCGAAATCGAGGCGTGGTACGGGTCTATCCAGTGCTCACGGCTAACTTTTATTTTCAGGTCGGAGAAATATTGTCATCTGTGCGACTTCTATAATTAGCGGGAACCGCATGATGGACGCGGCAATCGAGAAAGAAGCGTTCGCGCGCAAGGAGGCGGCGCTGCCCAACAGCCCTTAGGCTCAAGGTTATCAGAGTCGTATACGATGTTTTGGAGTTGACGGCGTACTGGTTGGTGGGGGTTTATTCTCGTGGAGCATGAGAGCGTCTCGGTCAAGATTTGGCATGACTGCGTTTTTTCTTCTTCTCCTTTCTTCCCTTTGAATCTTAATCGAGCTGTCTCGTCGCTGATGCCTCAGTGGTTTGAAGTTGATTCCTCGCGAGATACTGGCGGACTTAGTTCATTAGAGCGCGCCCCACATCAGGGAGCGTCGCGATTGGATTGCTTGCCTCACGTGACCGGTGCCTATGCGATGAACTCGGCGTTCTTGAGGGGCCGCGATGAGCTGATGGCTCTATTATTTCCTGCTCATTGGCCCTTCCTTGGAGTAAAATACTGGCCACTGTGCCGCTGAACTTGATTCATTCCAGCCTGAAAACCCTCAATGGTCCGATAATCGATGACAGTGGCCCATTTTGGACTTACATCGCAGCCTTGTAGCCACTACTCCTTTAGATACACTCCTTAGCCAGTGAAGCTCCAAACGACTTATTATTCCGCTTACAAAATAGGTATATACACCGCGAGTGAGAGCATCGGGGTCTCTTGGCTGACAACCCAACCAGACAGGCAAATTTGATGGCAGACTCCATCATCATATGATGCGTCTACCCAGCGTCATGCCGTATGACTGTCATACTACCGAGTGTCGTCGTCGATGATCCCGTCTCCATTCCGACATCCGTAGCCTCTCATATATCGACACCGACCCTACCTAATCACTGTCAGAGCAGGTGCCTTGTTAGACCATTCGCCATGGCAACTGGTGTCGAAAATCATCTCAGTCTAGAAAAGGAAGTGCCGATTGGGCCGAGTTTTTCGTACCCGCAAGACGTCGACACCTCGTCGCCAATATCAAGCCTAGCGCCGGAGTCTGTCACCCACAGCCAGAGCCAGAGCCAGAGCCAGATACCGGCGTCGCCCAGCAGCAGTCTAAGCTATCCCCAGGTATCGGGGCAGGGCTCGTCGGATGAGTCTTCAGAGGTCGCACCCGAGATTGTTGTGTGGACGGAAGATATGGATCTGAGCAGCAGCAGCCTATCAACCCATGACCCAGAAGACTCTTCTGGCATGCATCTTGATACGGAGTGAGTCTATGACCGCCACCCTAAGAAAAAAAAATCACGTCGTTGGAATCTTTCTTTTCTTTTTCCCCTTTCTTTTTATTTATATATAGTTGTTAAAGGCTTATTCTAATTATTTTCAATCCTTGGGTAGTGATGAGAAGCATCAGCACAGCGATGATAGCCCGCTACCAGTCGAACCCACAGACGACCCCATTGCTGAGTCGTTCTCTTCTTCGCATTCCTCCTTAACAGACCTTTCAGACGCTTCACGGTCTCCTTCAATTGTCTCTAGTAAGGCTACGACACCTGTCGAGACTGAAATACCTAGTCGCCCACAGGTTGTTAGGGCGGCACAAAGCTTTTCGGCATCATCGCACCGCCATGATATTGAACGTTTGACCTTCAACGTTCGGCCGAAGTCATCTGTCCCGACAGATATTCCATCCTACCAATATGCCAGCGAGTGCATCGCTGCCGCCGAATCATCGCGGCTAAATCCGTACGCGCTACATCCTGAAGAGTATCACTTCCTGCGGCATCACATATCCCACTCTCAAGTTACGACATACCTGAATATCAGAAACGGCATACTGCGCATATGGATGAAGCAGCCATCGGTCAGTGTAACACGGCACGAGGCGGTCGGATGTGCTAATGCGCGCTGGTTCGATGCTGCGAACGTGTGTTACGACTGGCTGATTCGTCGTGGATACATAAACTATGGCTGCGTGCAGCTTCCTGAACCCCAATCTGAACTCAGGAACGAGCCCCCTACAAAGAAGCGAAAGACTATTGCTGTAATTGGAGCAGGCATCTCAGGCTTATCCTGCGCCAGGCAGCTAGATTGTCTCTTTAAGCAGCACGCGGGCCACTTCTATGCAAGAGGTGAAGAGCCACCCAAGGTGATTCTTCTCGAAGGCAGAGGTCGCGTTGGAGGCAGAGTGTATTCTCGAGAGTTCAAAACAAGAACATCCGAGAGCGAAATTGAATTCAAGGGAAAGAGACATACCGCCGAAATGGGTGGCATGATTATCACGGGGTTTGATCGCGGCAATCCCTTGAACGTGATTGTCCGCGGTCAGCTGGGTATACCATATCATTCCCTTACTGCTGAGACTACAATTTACGACAGCAATGGCAAACCGGTAGACCCAATCAGGGATCTCCTGGTTGAAAAACTCTACAATGATTGTTTAGATCGCGTCAGCGAGTTCAAGTTCAAGTCCCAGCCATCCAAGTTGATTGAGGGCAACCGTGACCTAATCGATGATGGTCGGGATAGCCCCGGAGACGGCTCCAAGACGATAATGCAAGCTGAAGAGGCCACCGCTGCGCTTCCCGATGCTCCATCAGTGTCCCAACAAAACGTACCCGAGACAGTAAACATGGTTCCAGTCTCTGCAGATAAGCTGACGGGCCGAGTACATAACGAGCCTGGAGTCCCCGCAACTATCAAGGCATCAGAAAAGGCAAGGCTGATGGGATGGAACATCAGACCGGGGGCAGCAGAGAAAGGCAACCTTGATTTAACACCTGCCACTACTCTGGAAGGATCAACATTAGGATCAGTCTTGGACCACGCCATTACCCAGTACAAAAACATTGTTGATCTAAACGCGCAAGACCACCGATTAATAAATTGGCACATTGCCAATCTAGAATATAGCAACGCTACAAATCTGCATAAGCTGAGCCTCGGTCTATGGGACATTGATGCCGGCAACGAATGGGAGGGCAACCACACCATGGTTGTCGGCGGCTATCAGAGTGTCGCCCGTGGCCTGCTCCAATGTCCATCGCCGCTCGACATTATGACCAAGTTCCCAGTGCAGAAAATTACCTACAACGGCGAGGGTTTTGATGGAGTAGCTATCATTGAAAGCGAAGATGGTACACAAGTAGAGGCCGATGCCATCGTCTGCACTATACCCCTTGGCGTCCTCAAGCAAGGTAGTATTGGCTTCGAGCCTCCGCTGCCTTCGGAGAAGACGGATGCAATTGGTCGACTAGGGTTTGGTATCCTCAACAAGGTTGTCTTGCTTTACGACAAGGTGTTTTGGGATTCAGACAGACATATCTTTGGTGTACTCCGAGATGCGACCAACCGTCATAGCACATCTCAACAAGACTATAGCACAAATCGGGGACGCTTCTTCCAGTGGTTCAATGTCACCAATACAACTGGTCTGCCCTGTCTAATCGCACTCATGGCCGGAGACGCTGGCTTTGATACAGAGCATACGAGTAATGATAGTCTGGTTGCCGAGGCCACGGAGATACTGAGGAGCGTCTTCGGCAAAGACGTCCCTTATCCCATAGAAACGGTAGTGACGAGATGGGGCTCCGATCGGTTTGCCCGAGGCAGCTACTCTTCGGCTGCCCCCGATATGCTGCCAGAAGACTACAACGTCATGGCGCAACCCGCGGGCAATCTTTTTTTCGCTGGAGAGCATACCATCGGCACGCACCCAGCGACCGTTCACGGCGCATATTTATCAGGGCTGCGTGCTGCATCCGAAGTCTTGGAAGCAATTATTGGGCCCATTGAGGTGCCGACTCCTCTCGTTCTCCCAAGGGACTCACTTTTGCTGCATAAACGTAAGGAGGCGGCCAAGGATCCCCGGCAGGCACGCTTAGAAGCATATGAGATAGAGGTATGGGAGCACGTCCTCTCCAAGATTGGCGACCGGCCATTGCGCCCGAACAAGGTGTCCGGTAGTGCCTACATCTTATTCAGCAAGGCTCATTTTGAAGCCGCAAAAAAGAAATGCGAAGAAAGCCGCAAACCCGGCAAGACACGGTCCCTGCCAAACGAGGTTCGCATAATGACATCTCGTATGTGGAAAGAGGCCACGCCGGACGAAAGAAAACCATATGAAGAACAGGCCGCCGAGCAGAAGAAGCTTTACCTTCAAGCGATGCAGGAGTATACTGAGCTGGCGGAGAAGTGGGATCGCCAAGCCATCGCGCTCCGAGCTGCCTACGAACAGGAGCATCCTAGCTTGCCCGGTCCGGAGGAAGGGCCGGAGGATGCGTCTATGATGCAGAAGCATCGGCGGGCGAGGAACGTGAGTTATGCAGAGGGTGGAGACAGCGATGTGGAATTATAAAATTGGCCACTGGTCTCCTCGTTTGTGGCATTATATACCTGGTGTTTGGATGCTTCGGTCCCGCAGGATTTGTAAAGGCGTTGATAAAAGTCTTGCTTGAGGATGGGTTCATATTACCCATCTAGGTGCTGCATGTCTATAGGACGAGGTATATAAATTAATCGATCAATTGGAAGTCGTCTCCATTAAATTATTCGTAGCTTTCGAGCTTGCCAATACCGAGTCAAGTAATACAGTATGAGGATCAATCATTCATTCGATCATTTTTATTTCATCTTGATGCAACATTTCCGTTCGAGCTGGTATCTACTAAAAAAAATTATTTGTGGGTTTGATACACTGACTGGGGACACCGCGCTGGGTAACCTCTAGCTTTGTTATTACACAGGATGAAAAAAGTATGTAGTTTTTTCTTTTCTCTTTCTCCGGCGTGCCAGCTCTTTGCTTTCTTTCTACCGACAAAAAAAGAAGTAAAAAAATCAAAAATATTTTTTTCTTTCTTTACATTTCTTCGGAGGCAATAGCACCAGTAATAATCTCGACGAGCTCTCCGGTAATGACAGCCTGTCGGGTACGGTTGTACAGAATCTGGTACTTTCCGATCATCTCACCAGCATTTTTGGAGGCGTTCTGAGGGATTTAATTAGCGTCATTGAAAAAAAGAGTAGAATGAGAAAATTTTGTAATTAAAAACTTACCTCCATGGCGTTTCGTCGGGCAGACTGCTCGCAGGCGTGACCCTCAGCCAGAGCCCAGTAGAGGGAGTTGGCAAGGGAGTACTCGCGCAGGTTGGCAAGGGCCTCATCCTCAACCTCAAAGGCGGAGATGTTGGCTATGTAGACGGTTAGCCTCATTTTGCATTTAAAAAATGGTAAAAGCGGTAGAAGTGCGACATACGGGACTGAGAAATGGCCTCCTCGGAAAATGCCTCAATGAAGGTAGGCTCGTAGCTGGTGGCGTTGATGAACTTGTTGTACAGGATCTTGACATCCGTGTACTCAGTGGGCAGCAGGACGATCTGGTCGGCGATAGCCTGGGCATCGGCAAAGGTAGGAATGTCCTTGCCAATACCGGCGAAGTTAAGCTGGATACCCTTGGCGTTGGTTCGCGACAGCTGGGCCTTGCACTTCTCGCCAATGATGACCAGGTCGAAAGGAGGCTCCTCAGCAGACATGCGGCGGATGGTACGGCTCAAACCAGAGTGAATACCACCGCAGAGACCCTTGTCGGAAGAGCAGACAATAACGAGGGACTTCTTCTCCTCAGCCTCGGCGGCAGTGGTCTCGGCGGACTTGAAGACCTCGTTGGAAGCCTCGCCGTACTTGCGGGAGTCGTTCATGCTGCGGGTAGCACGGGTGAGCTTGGTAGAGGCGACGACCTTCATGGTGTTGGTGATCTTCTCGATGTTTCGAATCGACTTCAAACGAGTCTCGATCTCACGGAGCGTCGCATAGGTGGCGGCAGTGCTGGGGCCAGCAGCAGCTCTAGAGCACTCATTGTTAGTCCTATATACGCTGATTGTATTTTTTATCTCTTCTCCGTCTTCTCCATAGATAAATTCCATATGCTCTCGGCCAACTCTGGCGCTAGCTGTCGTCGAGGCGCTCATGGATCGCAAAACTCCAATCGCGGGCCATTTGAGGCTCCCGCGGCTATAACAAATTTCTTATAGATGCTAGTCGGAGGGAAGAAAAACTCACCGGGGAGCTGCAACGGCAGCTCGCAGAGCCGGTCGGGCAACCCTTGACAACATTCTGGCAAGTGTGAAAATTCAAACTAAGCCCTCTGGCCAACGCAGACCCAATTGATCGTGACGTGGATCAATTGACGGGGTGTTCGTGGGGATGCAGTTCGGGTTGGTGAGTGATTGCAGTTTTGCTCACTTTGCCGGCAAATCGACGGGAAAGCTCGGGTCCGGAGTACCTTGTACCTTCGTACCAGAATGCGGGCGGTGCAGCCTTGCTATTCGCTAACGCCGTTGGCAGCGCATCACTAGCAAAAGTGTTATGCCACCTTTCCAGTAGTCCCCCGCTACAGAGATATCAAAAGTGGGTATGCCGAATATTGCTATAGCCCGCATTGCAGGGTAGGCATCGAAGCCGATTAGATGCATAAGGCTTTTCAAAGCCGAAAACACGAGGCGATCCTTCTTACACTCTTTTCCGCCAGCTTTTCTGCGTTCCTCAGGCTTTCTCTCGCCCGGGGCTGTCGAGGTTCACTTCTCGCCAGCCTTATCTGAATTTCGCAGATCTGTTCTCGTCTCTTTTCCCCCGAGTTTCCCTCGGCCTTACACTTTGCAATCGCGGCTGCAGCATTCCTTACGTTGCTCGCTCCTCATTCAGAGCCTTGCGTCCGCCGAGTGCCAGCTGGTCCTCGCTTCAAACCATGGGTACCGACAGCTCAGACGATGACATGCCTCTTGCGAGGCCAAACGGGCGTTGTAAGACTTCTCCATCCTCCCTCTTGATGTATTTTCTCTTCTCCCAGTTTCCCAACTCAGGCATATCCTCAACACACGCGACTGCGACTGCGCCGGCGCTTACGGGAGACGCATCAATCCATGTCCAATCGCGCGCAAGTAAGCATTGGCATTTGGCTAATCGCAGCATCGACTCTAGTGTCATCCTCCAAGATATCCCGCGCCCAAGACATCGCCTTAGATAAGTCTGTGCCTAAGAAAGGCTCTGGGATGGCGGGACTGTCCATCCGTAACGGACCTGTCGAAAATGGCGACATGGACTTGGATTCGCCCTCTACAAACGGGGCGAAGCGTAAGTCACGAGTCTCGTTAACGCAGGTCGATTACAAAGATGGATCAGATAGCGATGGTGAACCTCTGGTAGGCGATTCCCTTCGTAGCAAGGCTGGCAAACGGCTTCATAGGTACCGTCAGCTAACGGCTTGGTATTTAGGCAAAACGACCACGATCTAAAAAGGTCGAGCAATCCGATTCGGACGATGAACCCATGGTCAAAGCTAGAGGGAAGAAGCTGCCTCCTTCTTACAAGGAAACCGCACTGCCTGAATCCTCCTCTGATGAGCAGCCTCTAGGTGTCAAGCTGGCCAAGAAAAAGGCTGACATCGAGAAGAAGGCCGAGAAGGAGGCTAAATCTATTCGTGCTAAAGAAGCAAAGGCAAAGGCTACACCGAAGAAGGCCCTCAAGAACGAATCAGATGATGACCTGCCTCTCGCAGCCAAAAAGCGGCAGTCAAATGGTTCGGCGGTAAAGAGAAAGTCCACTGGACTAAAGAAGGAGGAGTCTGATTCTGATGCACCCATTTCCAAGAAGTCGAAACCGGCTAGTGCTTCTGCCAAGGGGAAGAAAGCAGTATCGGCAAAGGACACCAAAGACACCAAGAAAGCCAAATCCAAAGAACCCAGCGAGGAGGAAGAGGAGGAGGAATTTGAGTGGTGGAATGCGCCGAAGCGAGAAGACGACAGCATCAAGTGGCGAACCCTCGAGCACAACGGAGTTTTGTTCGCGCCAGAATATGAACCCCTTCCGAAACACATAAAGATGTACTACGATGGCAAACCCGTCTCACTCGCCCCGGAAGCAGAGGAGGTCGCCACTTTTTGGGTTGCCATGATGACTGCCGCATCTACTCATCACTTGGAGAACCCTATTTTCCGAAAAAACTTCTTTACAGACTTCTCTGAAATTATCAAGAAGCACGGCGCTAAAGATGCCCAAGGGAACAAGATTGACATCAAGAGCTTGGATAAGTGCGATTTCTCCAAGATGGCAGAATACTGGACAGCAAAGAATGAAGCCAAGAAGAGCATGACCAAGGAGGAGAAAGCAGCTGCCAAGGCTGAGAAAGATGCGCTCGAGGCTCCGTATCTTTACTGTACGTGGGATGGAAGAAAGCAAAAGGTTGGCAACTTCCGAGTGGAACCTCCCAGCTTATTCCGTGGGCGAGGCGAACATCCCAAGACTGGTAAGGTCAAAGTTCGAGTTATGCCGGAACAGATCACCATCAATATTGGCAAAGGTGCCAAGGTGCCAACTCCGCCAGCAGGGCACAAGTGGAAAGCCGTCCAGCACGACCAGAAGGCTACGTGGCTTGCCATGTGGCAGGAAAACATCAACGGCGCTTACAAGTACGTCATGCTTGGAGCTGCCAGTGATGTGAAAGGACAGAGTGACTACAAGAAGTTCGAAAAGGCTCGTGAGCTCAAGAAGCACATTGACAAGATCCGCCGTGACTACACCAAGGATCTCAAGAGTGAGGTCATGGCAGATCGTCAGCGCGCAACAGCCATGTATCTGATCGACAAACTTGCGCTCAGAGCTGGAAATGAGAAAGACACGGAAAATGAAGCCGACACTGTTGGTTGCTGCTCTTTGAAGTACGAGCATATCACCTTGCAGCCCCCAGATCAAGTCACATTTGACTTTCTGGGTAAGGACAGTATTAGATACAACGAAACGGCCCGTGTTGATCCGCAAGTCTTCAAGAATCTGAAACTGTTCAAGAAGGCGCCAAAGACGGACGGCGATGATCTCTTCGATCGCCTCAACGTAAGCAACACAACACACCTCGTCTGAATTAAAGAGAGCTGAATACTAACTATCAATGCCAGACGTCTCAACTGAACAAGCATCTCAACAGCTATATGCCTGGGTTGACTGCCAAGGTTTTCCGTACCTACAATGCGTCCTACACCATGTCTGAGCTGCTCAAGGAACTCGGGAAAGATCCACGCTCTCGCGGCACTATCGCGGAGAAGGTGAAGCTTTACAATGACTGTAACCGTAAGGTCGCCATTCTTTGCAATCACAAGCGAACTGTTGGCGCAGGGCACGAGCAGCAAATGCAAAAGCTTGGAGATAGGGTAAGTCACATTCTCTTATTCAATAAACTCTTAAACCCGAGAAGACGAACACAGTGCTAACTCCTACTCAGATCAAAGGCCTCAGGTATCAAAAATGGCGAACCAAGAAGATGATGCTCGACATTGATCCAACTCAAAAGAAGAAGAAGGGCGCAGCCTTCTTTGAGAAAGATGAAGATCTCGATGACGAGTGGATCAAGGAGCACCAACAATTCCTGATTGAGGAGCAACGCACCAAGATCACGAAGAAATTCGAGAAGGATAACGAGAAACTTAAGGCTAACAAAGAACGAGTTTTGCCTGAAAAGGAGCTTAAGGAGCGTCTCCAGGCAGTCAAGGAACTCGAGGCCAAATTCAAAAAGGAGAACAAAACCAACAAGGTGGAGGCCGAGGGCAGAGGAGCAAGCGTGGAGAAGTTCTTGGGCGCTATTGACAAGATTGACGAGCGCATCCGGGTCTTGGAAACACAGGCCGAAGACCGTGATGGCAACAAGGAGGTTGCCCTGAGCACTTCAAAGATTGTAAGTCACCTCGGCAATACCGCTAATAAAAATATGAGAATGCTAACAATGAGCCGTAGAATTACATCGACCCTCGTCTGACGGTGGTGTTCTCAAAGAAGTTTGATGTTCCTATTGAGAAGTTCTTCTCCAAGACTCTCCGAGACAAGTTCCGATGGGCTATCAAGTCAGTCGAGGACGCGGAAGACTGGGAATTCTAGACACAGAACCAGCCCAGAAGACAGATACAAGAGGCGAAGCATTCACATTGCTCTTCCTTCGCTAAAAGTTGTTTTTTTGCTTTTTTCTTAGTTCTTTTGCCTTTTCTTTTTTTGTTTTCCGCAGTGGTTTTTTCCCTCTCACGTTATATATACATGTTACGGTAAAGGTGGTACTTCCACCCCAGAATACGGCCATATCAGGTAGACGCGGCGCAGCAAAACGACACAAGTATTTATTTTATTATCACGGCTCCACGAACATTGTACGATGGAGTTAGAGGCAGACGGCGAAACTTGGAACATGGACGCACACGGCGGAAAGGGAAAGGGGGGTTTGGGCTCGGCTCACACAAAGTGCTTATTTCAGAGGAGTCTAGGACGATGGATGAGTGAAGGGTAGAAGGGACAGAATTCTTTCTTTACGACTGACAACAGATTTTCTGAGGGACGCATTCAAAAGAGTGAGGCGATGAGGGTGGGAGATAGCGAGAATCATAGCGAGGAATTGAGAGAGGCTTGAGCTTTTTTTTTTGAGCTTTCAGCCATGCTGTACTGTTTTAATTGAGTTTTTTTTTTTTTTTACCCCCTCTTGCTCGGTAGATTATACGAGTCTTCCGTTTGAACGTTATCATGTGATACCAGCTTAATGATGTTCCTTTTTTGTTTTTCCTTATATGTCGACGATAGAGGCTTCATTCCCGTGTCTTCTTTTGCTCTGGTGTTTTTATAGATATCTCTTACTCTAGGAACGAAAGACAAATATGTATTGGTGAAATGAAATTATCTGTCATTAGAAGCCAAATTGCGTTGATATTACATGTCGTCAATAACTTTATATGATGCGATTTGTTGTTCTTTCAGCTTGTGTCCAATGTAATTTATAACCATTGATGAGTAGAAGATAGTATTGACTCATTGGAAATGCTTGGAGCATCTCTACATCTATAGAGAGTATATATATACATATTCAATACCAAGACAACGATATATGATGCCATCTATAATAACTGTCCAAAACGCATGATGCAATGCAACGCCATAAAAAATGCAATCCCCGTGTGGAGCACATGTCTGTTGCTTCTTTGCCCAATTTATAAAACCGTGGTAGGAGACACTCTTTCCCGATATATACACCCATTCATTAATAACACATCAGCCATTAAACCCACATTTGCCTCGCACATAAACTCGCTATATCCTTGCAACAAAGGCCAACACACCAATAGCAAAGTGGCTCATCAGAAGCACCAACAGGGACGGCAGAGGCACACGGGACGCCGCACCCGCATTGCGTGCAATCTTGCCGTCTGGGTTCATATGCCAACCGCTAGGAATGCTTCCGATAGTGGCACCCGCAACCCACGGCCAGCTCTGAGTGGCCGTAGCTTGGCCTTTATTCGTGCCGATGCCACCAACGGGAATGGACAGCGCGGCTGTTGGGGTTGTGGCAGCATTACTGGCGCTTGCTGTGATGGTGAGGGAGTTTTCGTTGTTGGCGTTTCCGTTGATCTGGCCGCCGACGGCCTGAATGGACTGCCACGAGCCAGAGTTGTTGCTATAGACGTACTGCTTACCAGTAGAGTAGTCTGTGACAGTGATGCTCTGGACCAACATACTAAAGGGTCCCTTGCTGAAATCCGTAGGCCCCTGGGCCCATTGAACAGTGCCTGGAGCATTGGTGCTTGGATCACCGCCGGCCCAAGAGCCGAACTTGATCTGCATTGGCGTCTGCGGGTATTGATTCGCTTCAGCATTGGCCTGGGTCAGAGTGCGCAACACAGAATTGCCCGCCGTCCACACGATCCTGTCCTGGGTCCAGTCAATGGTGTACTTGATCCAGTTTGCTTGGGTACCCGAGACGCTGTGAAACTGTCCGCGGTTATACGTTGTCGTCTGGCCCTTGCCAAAGTAGTTGGACTGAACCTGGTCGGGCTCAGCACCTAGCCACTCCAAATCGATCTCATCAAGATCATCAGATTGCAACACCAGCGATGAGACAATGCCTGCTCCAGGGGCAGCTTTCATGGTGACTTCAACACGGCCAAACATGATGTAAAACACAGATTCGAGCTGTGGAGCGTCACCACCACCGGCCACCGTGAATGAGACGCCATTGCTGTCATATGTCGGCGCACCAGAAGCGACAAAGGAGTTAACAGAGCCCTTGGTGAAGTCCACATTGATAGTCATGCCCAGAGCCGTGTCAGCAGGGCATGAGCCTGTTGCGTCGCAAAAACACTACAGTCAGCCAAAAAGTTCCTTGTCAAAAAGCAGAGGCAATCAATCAACTCACTAGTTGTCAGCGGATTGCACCGGCTCCAAGTCTGCCCCAAAACAGCTCCGGGGAGCGTTAATGCAGCTACAGCCACGCAGGCAACGCTCGCCACAGGTCTCATGGCTGCAAGGAGGGCAAGAATGAAAAAAGTGACAGCAAAAGACGGGTGAGAGAAAGGGACGGGAGCCTGCAAGTGATGCAGCTTCGTGCAGCTTGTGTGGCAGAAGGTTTTTCCTAGCGCCACGCAAGGGAAAATAAGAAGCTCCAATAAGATATAGACAAAGAGAGGAAATGGTGTTGGAGCAGTTGCTTTGGAGTTGCTGTCACTTGCAGCAAGTCGTTCGCGTATTTAGCTGAACTAACAAGTAACGCAAGCCGTCAAATAGACGAGAGCGATGCAAGGGATGCCCGTGAAAGTTTGCTAGTCACTTTAGACTATATTCCCAGCATTCCAGAGTACCGAAAAAAAGCAATATAGAGACACAGCGATAGGGCAGTTTTGCAAAAATAAAATTGAAAAAATGAAGCCGCAGCTGAGATGCAGGTTTAAGCAAATGGCTGGTTATAAGCGGGGGCTTTGCACCTTCCCAGCCACTCGACTTGCCAATGTCCTCGTCATCGTCATCAAGGCCAATTGCCAAGGCAGGCGCGTATCCAAGATATCATCTTTTACGGAGCAGTCGCACGGATTTCTGGTTCTGTCCTCTCGTATCTCTTTTCTTTCTCGCCCGCTGCTTCCTTCTCTCACTTTTCGTCCCTCACAAGGCAAGTACATGTTGGTGCGTCTAGGCGCTGGGCAAGTCCTCCCTCACGTCAATGACCCCACCGCCTTCCGCCAATTTTCTCAGTTACGTTTAACCCGTTTAATCATTTTTTCTAGTTTTTCTTTTTATTTTGTTTTTGTCTTATTTATTGAACTTCACTTTTCCCAATTCTGTGCATAATGCATATGCAGCCAACGGTAGTTACTTTTGTCCTCTTGCTTCCTACCTAAAGCATCCCCAATCCCCCCATATCTCCAACAGCGCGCTTTTGGCGGTCAACCACTCATGCGCTGGCCACTGAGTGACAGCTGGCTCACGCATGCTTGCTTCTGTCCGATGTACCTAGCACCATTAAAGCGGGTGGTTGGGACCTGGCGCAGTAGCACGGCCGGCCCCTCTAGCCGCGAGCCGATTGGACGTAGTCACTTGGAGCCTAAAAGCGGGTCCCGGCGCCGGAGCGCGAGAATTTCGGTCAAGCTCTGCCCGCCGGTCTTCCGGCCTACCCTACACGCAGATGGAGCAATCCATAATCATCTCCATTGGGCTTCTGACGTGGCCGCCGAAGGTGGAGGAGAGCCGGCAGCATCGTGCGGGACATGCGGTGAAGGACCGTCCATTGTGCCGTTTACCAGTAGTGACGTGTGCAACTTCAAGACGCTACAGGCTTGCTCGCATGCGTTGGAATGGCCGCACTAGGAATTGCTTCTCCCAGATCCGACGGCAGCTAAGATCACGATGCTTGACATACTCGTGCGAGGACAACACCAACGGTGATACAGTGATACAAACACACCCTAAAAGCAGGGCACGGGCCCTTGCAGCCTCACGGACACGGCGTCTCGAGTCCGCCTCTGTCTGAGGGCATGAACTCGGCGTACGAGCGGACGGCATCGCATCGGAAACATTGAGACAATGACAAAAGTTACCCAGACACGGCATCGTATGTAGGGAGAACTTTGCATTGTCACATCCCCGCTGCGCTGCAATGCCCAAGACCCCTCCTCCCTTAGGGCCCGAAATCCCACATCACCAATCAGCCAACCGCAATGGCACTGGTCAAGCCAATGTCGTATCGCTTAATTCGTAGAAGGCTCTTATTCAACATTCACATCACAGGCGGCAAAAGGCACAGTCGCCTCGTCAATTAGACAAGTGACATACGCGGCTCGCTAGCCGTTGTGACAACCAAGCCACAAAGAAGAAAGGAAATGAGGAGAAGAGGGGAGAAAAAGAAAAGAAAAACAAGGGAGTCAGACCACTTGGCCGTTGAAGTGTTGGTCGTACATACCATCAGATGCAGAAGAAGCAAAGTTTTTCCTGTTTCAGGCCTCAACCAACCAAAAGAGAAATTCGCATGTGCTCCAAGCGCATAGGATGAGTTAACATGACAGCTTCCCCATAATATCGCCCACAGGTCTCACGGGCCAAAACTAAAAAGCATTGACTTGATCATGCACGTTGCATGTACGCAAGTCCTCTGCAGGAATATAGGCCCAACCGGCCATTCGCAGTGCGCTTCCCCGACCTCCAGAGTGGCAAAATTGCAAATGCAAGGCAGGTTTCTTTTTTATTACTCGCAAGTTCGGATTGGCCCGATCCGCAAGTACAGAGGCAATCACATCGTAAGACGCACGGGAGGCTGCCCACGTTATCAGGTGCTAGTGTCCAAGTGTAGAGGTGATCAAGATCTGTGTCCCCTCGCATCTTACCCCTCCAGCCCAACGGCTGGCTATGAGAATGCCGCCTGTCTCATGCGGTTGCACAACAACACCCGTCAATGGCGGCCATTACATGGCATCAGTGTTGGGGGGGAGGAAATACCGTGGTGTCGTGGACCTATGTATTTCCCATCAGCACAGTGCACAACGATGGAATCAGGCAGTATACTGAGCAGAGGATCCAAACTATACAATTTGGCTGAATCAACCGTCTTACTCTGAGCCGTGTCTGAAAAGGCAACAATCGCATGTCTGAGCTTATCCTCCGCTGACATCGGTCGAGATGCATGGGCCTATTTTTATTTTGCCGTACTGTTCTTATTGTCCATCATCTTCGTACTCCGTAGTCTCCCTTCATTTCTCGAATCGACTGACGAGATGCCATTAGCCCCATCTCTTGCACTAGAGTGGTCCTGAAGTGATCTTATGCCTACAGTCCACGTCTTACCGCGTGAGCCGATTAAAAAAAAAAAAAAAGAGACGCCAGAAAAGACGAAACAGATAAAAGGGACTGCAGCTTGTACTGTAGTGTGGTGTCGCATTGGAACAGGAGCGGCTAAGCAATGCTCTGCGGGCAACTCAAACATTGGTCATTTCCACCACGCATGATCCGCATTCATGGCGCCGGCTCCCGCCCTTGGATACGGGAGGAAACGCAACAAACTATAACGCCACACAGGCATGAGGGGACCAAAAAAAGATAGAAAGAATCGCGAGGCAAACAAGAGATGTCAGAAGTCATAAGCTGTGCTCCTTAGCTTGCTTTAGCTCAACATTGGGATTTGTTCCTTGTCTCAGCTGCTATTAGGGCGGCACGCTATATTGAAGCATCTCATATTAGTGACATGTCGGAATCAAGGACGCGTGTCATATCTTCTGTGGATGGAGGACAATCAGAAAAAGCAACTCGGAGAAGAGGAGGGACAGAAAAAAGAAAGAAAAAAAGGCAAAGAATGGATGTACATCATGCTTCCCGCTGGTTCACGCTTGTTAGGCGATCCGCGAGACACTACCGCAGTCGGGACTCATCATACAAGAGTCTATATTTGCAAGTAGAAGTGGCAAGAATTGGCATCAGAATCACAGTCACAATGACATTCAGCACAACACACGGAGTGCCGCTCGCCACCGGATGCCGTCAAGTCATTCGCAAGCCGGTCCGTGCTCGTATTGATGTCCGTGCTAGGTAATCCAGCGGGCATCGGTAATTGTTCACGAAGCACAGTGACACTTCCGAGAAAGGGCGCCGGGAGACTCGTGCACAGCCATTGCTTTTCTTTCCCTTCCAGTTCAGCTGGACCACTCGGCTGCGCTGCCGCGCGGTGCCTCTGAAATGAACAGTCCACCCAGAGCTCAGCCACTGCTTGAGGCGAGAATTCCATCGCCAAATATTCCGGAGCGATATTATCAGTGTAATTTTAGAGAACCACCAAGCCGTTAGCTGCTGGTCTCAGTCATGACACCTTGATGGAGACCGGACTTCGTATAAGCCTCAATATCTGGAGATCCACCGCTGAAATGGTAACTTGTCAGGTTTTTTCTAATTTCCACAACACCCGGTCCGAGGGCCCATCAGAGTGAAAATAGAATATTGAATGACATTCGTCAAGTGGATTAGAGCAATTCGCAAGATTGACTTCACCTGAGTGTTTCTATTTTGGAAAGCAAGAGGACGGGGGCAAAGAAAAAAAAGAGAGAGGAACGGCAGAAGTGAAACATTGCGGCCCGCAGGTACATGAGTGATGTAACATATCAAAGCATCCGGTCTCCGTACGGCATGCGGCGTGCAAGCACTCCGTAGTTGCGGGAAGTAATACAGTACAGTAGTTGGATTTTCGTCGTCCGTAATTCGTAGCAATAGCCCGAGTAGTCGATCGGCCATGCATGAACACTCCTGTGTCTGATGCCTGTCCGCGGACCTAAATTGCCGCTCTCTCACAGACCGCATTCCGCACTTTGCAGTCAACGGCCCCAATCGTCTGATCATGTCACTGGCGCCGCATACTAACTAGTATGTACATGCTCGCACGCCATGAAGCTCGGGGCGAGCCTCCTCGAGTTCCGTACGAAGCGGCGGCGTTAGCAGCACAGAGTACTCCGCGGCGGTAGCACAAGATGTGCTGAGACATTGTGTACTACCGAACGTCGGCAGGGTAGCATCGAACGACTGCCGGCAGAGGCATGGGGCGCCTGTGCCAGCGAATGCCAGCACGAGTAGAGGCACTACCCGCGTGTGGCATTACTAGCGATACTGCTGCCAGCAGCAAAGCCGACTTGACCGATAGCGGCTGTCCTATCTGGCGCCATTTCATTGCCGCGGAATCGCCTGTTGGAGTCGCGAGCAAGCATGACCGCCACTGTACAAGTAGAACCTTGCTTGGGCATTCTGGAATCGCCGACGAAGCAGGCGCGATATTGAGGCCGGGAATGGATACAGAAATGGATACGCCATACCGCCGTACCACCTTCCGGGACCTTCGGTTCCAGTGTTGAGGGCCTGGCACAGCGAGGACGAATACCGGGGAACAATGGCTGGATGGAAGCTGGATTTGTGGGCCATGAGACCTTCCAGAAGCTCCATGGGCTTGGGTTGCGGAATGCCCAATTGGCTCTCTGCCCAAGCCCTTGCTGGTTAAGTCGTACCTGCGCTAGCCCGGGGGATGCCCTGGCTAGTCTTTGCCAGCAAATATCTCTCCACTGGTCGCTTAATATGGCACAGCGCATTCTACCATGGTCCTGGTAGCGGGTCGGCCATAGGCAGCGAACAACCGAAGCATTGAGCCCTTTTCCCCCTCCCAAGAGATGGGCCCCCGTGCCGGCATGAAATGTCGATATGCCGTGAGGATACAGCAACGCGGTCTGTTAAGATGAAGCCATGCTGAAACATTTGGCAAGTGGCGAAACGGATGGTCAAATGCCAAAAGAAAGCGCGGTGACGAAGCTAGCCGTAAAAGGGCCGTGCCGTTCCCACGAAGATGACAGTGATTATGGTTGCATTGGAGAGCATGAAGACCTCTTTGGGCAATAGTAGTTCGTGTTTTGTACCTGTCAACCAAAGGGCATTTCGTGCAAGTTACAGCGCCCAGGATTGGCGGATGTCAGCCAACAACCTCTAATTCGTCTTCGACTTTTGGAAGAGGGGAAGCGAAGGACGGAGAGAAGACTGGCAATGTTCTACCCGGTGGACCTCGAGACAAATTGGCTGGGCATGGTAGTGCCATGGCCAAGTAGAAATCCGGGGAGCGGGTAGACCGCTAGGGTCCGGTGGCAAGGGCCATCTGATCCCGGTCGAGCAGGCCTCTATGGTATCAGGGCAAGATGCTGGCCACACGGCTGTGAATCCGGGCCGTTGCTAGCCCATGCGCATTGTACGAGTACAGTGAGCTCGTCCACCAGGGTCCTGGTCACTCTGATCTGAGAGATTAAGTCCTGACTCGTCCGCATCCGTCAAAGTCACTTGACATCGTCCCTAGAATTCGACGGTGTAAAAGGCGGTGGCAAAATAGGTTCAGGTTTTTTTTTCTTCCCCTCTCTCGCTCTCGCGGCTGCGACCTCCGTGACCCGTAGTCGATATGATATTGCCTAGTACGAGTAGGCCTTGGGCGCACCCTACCGGACCAGGTATTATAGCATGCCTTACTCGTAGATGGAGCATATGGATGGCATACAGGTAAGTTATCTCGATTTACCGACCATGTTAGCGCCGTTTGCAATGACCGCCGACTCTTCTCCTGTCAAGGTTGGGGGATCTTCGTTCACCAGCGCTGTGAACATGCCTGTAGTCTTGTGTCGTTGGTTCGGCACAAAGGAGCAAGTTTCTGAGAGGCAATTTGGCTAAACATTAGACGAGTAAGGCGGTGGGTAGCTGTAAAACGCAACAACAGCAACAACCAGGCACTCGCACATAGGTGCATAACCAACAGTAAGACAGACCGCAGAGAGGATATCATACTGCAAAACGCCTTGCGGCGGGCAGAATGCTGCTGGCAGCGCCCATATATCAACCAATTAGAGCCGCAGGAGCGATCCAATCAGAGGAAAAGTTGGTGAGCATCCAACGTCTGCCCAGGTTAACGAGCTTCGCAGCAGACTATTGAGGCTGCCAATACCTAGTACCACGCCTGCAGCACTTACCGGTGTATCCCCTGTCAGTATGGAATATCTAACAGGTATTCGTGGGCTCTCGCTCGAGTCCGGGGCACGCTGTCGCATCCATCCGAAAACCAGTGACCAGTGCCACAGGTCGCCAGGGTCAATTGTTCGAGTCAAGAAGACGGTCTGCCAGCAGGACTCGCAACAGTTACGCCGGGACCCTGGCCCTTCATCTGAGGCCGTGTGCCAGTAGTGCGATCTATCGTTTGCAGATGCCAGAGACATTCGCCTAGCAAGGGTGGTGCCGAAATCTTTTTTCTCAGGCGGTGGACGGCTGCCGGTTCCGCGAATTTTTGGCGAGGAGGCAAAAAAAGCCTTTTCCCGCGCAACCTGTCAAATCACCGCCATCCTGGCTACTGGCGGTGTCGATGGCCGCTCGGCTCAAGGGCCGTTCAATTGAGTGCAGCGGTAAGCACTCCGTACGAGTGCTGCATCTCTGAGATTCAACCCGGCCGGGGGGGGGACGACAAAGACATCGAAGAGTCGGTGGCCGTGCAGAACGGCGGATTGAGGATCGGTGGGCCTTTTGCGAATGAACACGCGTTGGTGCTCGTACAGGTACTTGTGAAATCATCTTGCCTACCCGAAGCACTACAGCAATTAGGCTATTAGCTCTGGAGCTCAAGTTTGCGGAGGCGGCAGCGACGCTTGGCTGTAACGGCGGCGCCTCTTGTGCTGTGAACGGCAAGGCGATGAGCTGACCATGTTGACTGACTGGCGGGTGGAGAGACCTGATGCTGGTTAAGCCCGGGGAGTGATGGTGATGCAGCGTGCATTGCACAAGTCCCAAGTAGCCCAGGTGCTAGTGCAGGACTGGAGTTGCACAAGAGGGATCCATACCTGGACTGGCATATGTACTCTGTACTGCGGACTGCAGCAGAGTCCCGCGCGCGGGTGATGTGGCAGCTACTCGTACAGCACCGACTACCTGTCGGGGAAGGCCCTACCCCCCGGCCATGATCCAAGGCGGAAAGAGCCCTGGAAGCTGTGGACGGTACCTGCATACAACGGGCTCCAGCGGGTTCCAGTGGCCGCATTGGTTCCTGCATGGCTGCGTCTGCAGTGGCGGTCTCTTCGCACTGCAGTGAGTGACCAGGGTCAATGTTTGATGGCTAGAGCCTTAGCAATTGGTGGGGGCCGCTGTCCAGTCACGGCGGCGGGTTATGCATGCGCGGGCTGATATGTTGGAATCCGTGGGACCAATGCAAGCGCAAATGTGATGTGTACTTATATTCGATGCCACGATTAATGACCCTTGCCGCAGGCAGTTTTATTCGCCAGCCGCTTTGTCGGTCAACCAGTGCTGGATGGCTGGGCACCAAGCCGCATGCTGGTGCGTTGCCATGGTGCCAGGCACTCTACTTGCCACTCACACTTGCGCACTCAATCACTCGAATCACACACACCTCGTTGGATGCATTCGGTGGCTCATCAAATTACTCGGTCGACGGAGTGGCGGTTGGCGTTAATCAGTGACCGGCACAATGTCGGTACGGAGCGGAGCGTCGCCTTCTTTCATTTAGCAACACGGGGTCTAGCTCCCTCTTGGGCGTAGCATCTCCCTTCCAACGGCGCGGCGCAGAGACGGGCCAGCGATAGTGGCTCGACTTGGGGCGATCCGTTGGCTTCGTTGTGCCTGATCGTTTGACGCTGTTTCCTGTTGTGGCTAGAGCTTCATCATGACGGACTGCACTTGTGTTTGGCGCGTGCTCCCCAGGTGCTCTTCATTGTCCCGTTTCGTCAACACGTGCTGCTCAAGTCGGATGTGCAGATAATGGAGAATCATCCCATAATTTCATAGCATCAGCGAGTTCTGCCGGAGTGTTCGCTTATTCGAGTTTGTCGGTGAAGAGCACAAACACATTATGGAGCAGCAAAGACTTCGTATTACCTTATGGCCCGGGCCCGCCGTTTCCAGGACCCAGAGTTAGGTACGTGGATTCTTTCCGAGAGTTGGAGGTGCTGCATTGGCTGCCGCTGGGGGTGCAGATACTTCGTGCTTGTACAGCGCAGAGGTACCTTACCTACATGCCTGGGTACTAATCGATAAGAGACGACGAGACGAGACGAGACGAGACGAGACGAGAAAGAGAAAAAAGACGCCGCCTCTTGTCCCCTGTCGCTTGTACAGCTATAGTTCAAGGGTCTGTGCAGCTGGTTAATGCATTTTCCATTCTCGACTCGTTATGCAGCGCTAGAGTTTCAGATTAGACCGCAGCCAATAGGACCGCTGCCACCAGCCCAGCATCTGGCATAGGTCTGTTTACATTAGCGACGGTGGCAGCCAATGCTTGCATCGCGTGTGTGATGATCGGTGGATGTGCAGGCACAAGATTACGAGTACTTTGTACTTTGTACCCAGGCAACCAAGTCACCAACACCGCTCCAAAGCACCGCCTTGGATGAAACCCTCCACATGCGGAAGAGCCTGTACATCACATCACACACCGCACGCAGGATGCTGACGACTCTTGCCCCATGGGATATCACATGCTAGGCGGTGCTGGCTTACCCGGTATACAAGTTGGGAAATTGGAATCAATATCATCAACAACACGCAATCAATGGCAAGTGCCCTTTGGTACGGAGTACTGAGAGCAAAGATTCCTTCCTTCCGGGTAAGGACTATCATGGTCAATTCAATTCACTAGCCTATCCTGGCTATCATCGCTTCCAGAGACATTCTTCCTTTGTCTTGCCTCATTCGTAACCACTAATATCGAGTAGCGGATCCCCGCAAGCATCTATCTCAGCCAGTGTCCACCGCAAGCTACAGACTACAACCTTGGCTGATACCGATAGCAGAAATAGACGCCTGTGCTAACATGAAAGCCACATAGCTAGTCGCCGGTGATGCGTTCTCGTACTGCAGCCCTTCCCCAGGTGTCCAAAGTCCGGGAATGGGGCCAAATGGCTGGCACGGCGTTTTGACTAGCGTTACATGGCCTGGATGGAAGGATACCGCAACTTATTTTGCAAATTGAAACCTCTTCCCACCATCTCACGACACACCGTTAGATGTCGACTGAAGTGGTGGCGGCATATGCCTGCTGTCTGGCAATAGTACGGGGGAATAGCTGCATCCAACAGCCTATCGGACGTTTACCAGGCCTCGCTTAAGGTACACCGTAAAAAAGAAAAGCGGGGACCTGCCTGGCAGCGCACATTCTTGTAATTGCGGTGACACTTTTTCCTTCCTTCGAAGCTCTAGGTTTTCCACACGAGCACGTGCAGAGGTACTACTTACAACCGTTGAACCGTTGCAATCAGACAAAAGGCACCACGAAATTGAATGCGGGTAGATGTTTCTAGTAGAGGTGCCCCATATGATTAGAGCCGAGGATGGTGCTTGATTTTGGGTGCCATTCCCCTCTTTGCCGCACCTCTAGGCATAGTACATATGACTCGCCTTCAACAACCATGATGGCCATGGTGAAACTGACGATTCTCAAAGGCTCGACGTACGGTAAAAGCTACCGGGCCTGGAGAGCTGGGCTCCGTACGGAGTACAGTAGTGCTCTCAGTAGCTTAGCGGGCCGGAGAAGCCACCGTCGACGGCCGTGGCTCGATTCTCAGCCCAGGCGATGGGTAGCCTGGAGCCCCAATGGGGCATTTTGCGGGAACGCGCGGGGCCACCAGGCGATAGCGAGCGCGGTTCTACGTTGGCCGTCCTGGAGAGGCAAGTTGGAGAAGCTTCACCGGAATCTTTGGTCGAGGCGGTATACAGCCTGGGAGGGAGGTGTTGACAACGCAACGCGGCTTGCAGCCGGGGGTGGACGGCATGGGGATGCTACGGTACTCCATGCAGTGAGGAATTAACGAGAAAACAAGAAAAAAAAAGAAAAGAAAAAAGAAAGGAAAGGTAAAAAGGGAGAAGAGACAAGAGACAAGAAAAAAAAAGCAAAAAACGCAAATACGGGCTTTTTAGTTTTGCAAGCGGGGATGCATCTCGTTTCACCCGCGAGACAGTTGCCACATCTGCCGTATTTTCCTTTCCTTTCTTATTTTGTTTTGCTTGTGCGTGATTCCCTCCGGCAAAGTCTGGTTATCTAGACCTACTATCTAATAAACACTTATGATTTTTTCCCACCTCAGTCCATGCGTTTCGTATTTGGTCTTGTATGTGCCTCTCTGGTGGCTATTGGCTGTGGGCTACTGTCCTGGCTAGTACTAGCGCGCAGCACCACAAGCAAGTTGACACAAACAAAAAGTGTCTCCATGCATAAGCATTACGGAGCACATACGAACAGACTATGAAACAGATGACGAAAAAGCCCTTGGTCTTCACAAGTTCAGGTGGAGACGGGCTATTCTTGTACGAGGTAGCACTACCCGCACTAAGCAGCATCCAAGACATAAAAATAATCCACTCATGCAGCCCGCTCCTCTTGGATTGTGATCGACGCGCTAGGCCTGGTTCTGGCAATTGGCTAATATGTCAGATCAAGTTTGACTGAGCTGCCCGTTGATGACCACCGTAAGACGAGATCAGTTGAGTCTGTGTGTATGAAAGCAGCAGAGAATGCTGATAGTACCGCCACTACTGAATAGGTTTTGCCGTGGACTAAGGTATGAACTACTTGGACCTTGTGTGACGACTGCTGGATATGTGCTAGCGCGAGAAGAGGACACAAACACATGCATCGCACATTCTGACCTGACAAACACACCATCAAACAGCCTGGGCGGCAACATGCCCAAACAGCTTTTTGGCCCTCTGCAGTGGATGCGACATCCGCCCTCCGGCCGGCCAATCTGGGATCCGCGTTTGACGTCTTTGCCTCCGAGATGTGAGTTTCCCACTTCCTGGCTAGTGACTGACGGCTTGGTTTCAACTAGCAGGTCGAATGACTTACAACCACTGGACAGACGGGCAGCGTGATTGATGGCTGAGCGCATCGCCCATCAGGATATCATGTGCCTTGCAGCGGTGGAGTTTTCTCGAGGTCTCGTAGGTGTGACGCCAGAGAATCGAGGTCCAATGGCTGTGCACACTCGAGGTGTGCGTCAGTGTGCAGAGCTGAGACGGCGGCTTTTTGTGCAAGCTGGGTCATCAAGTTGATACTAGCACACGCTGTATCCTATCACGACACGGCATTCTGCAGGGCTTGTGACGCGCTCTTGTGTGCCCGTGCCCGGCTGTGAGTGGCCAGCGCCGAAAAATGGCGCGCACAGAGCGAGCCTGTCAACAAGAACAGCGAGCCTCGGGGCTAACAGTAGCACTGTATTTAGTGGTGGTGGTACTTGTTAGTGGTGGTTAGCGGGTTGGCGCCGGCGCAATCACCGCAGGCGAGCCGGCATTCTTGTTGACTGACGCTGATTTCATAGGTGGCCTCTCGACGCTCGAGTGTGCGTAGCATCAGCAACGAATGGACGAGCAAACTTGGACGAACGCCATGGGGGCCAGGAATCGGCATAGATTGGAGCATTGCAGCATTTGCGCCTTGAGAGGTGCTGTGACCCAATCAGCAGCTGAGCCGCCGTGCAGATGTCATTGTGAGGCATCCATCTCTCTTTGTCCATTCTTGGATCCGGCTTTCAGTATTGGAGGGATGGATGCCGTCTTTTTTTCTTCTTCTTCTTCACTCTTGTCTCTATCTCTCTATGGACGCCCCCCCTCCCTCCCCTCCATCTCCAATGTGATATGCGCGCGACTACCACAAGCCAGAGGGAAACCAAAAAGAAAAAGAAAATAAAAAACGAGACAAAAGAGACCACAAAGCGGACGGCACCGCCAGCAATTGGCTCGGCTCACAGTGGCTTTTCGTAACCCAAGCCCAGTGGAGAGAGAAGCGCTGCGCTGTGCCAGTCGCGGTGCATCCGAGAGGTGGCGGCGTGTCTCTGTCATTATGCTTGTTCCTCGCAAAAAGCCGTGCCTGTATCTGTGTGGACGGATGCACTTCGTATGTTACGCTCGTATGGACTGGTAAGCCCACAATCCAGAATTAGAAGGGTGGCTGCGCCATGCTCGCCCGCCGGTTTGACTCAAACCGGGCCAGTCAGTCATCACGGTACAAACGCCCAATGCCAAATGGCGAATGGCGACCATCCATGCGCACGTTGGTGCTGCCATACGGACGGCCGTTGGCATTGCATTAATCTGCCATGCTATCAAATGTACTATTACTCGTGCTAGTCAACGCCAGCAGCAAGAAAACAGAGGCTCTCTTTGATGCTATACTGCAAGTGGTACTATTACCTCTTGTGCTAGTACGAGGACCAAGCAGGACCTGTCGTCGTGTTACATGTATGAGTACCTTGGTTAGGCCCACCGGCGTTGTACCCACCTCAACTCGACTCGACTCGACTCGGCTTGGGGGCTTCATGAATTGGCAGCTTTTTTTGTCAACTTCCCACTTTGGAGCCCTCTTTGTACAGTTGTACTCATACTACCAGCATCACCGTCAAAGCCGCACCCTTGTCGCTTCTTAGGCTGGCCGTTAGCCTGGCACTAGGTACGTACCGCCTCCACGGACTCGACAGATGGACTCGACCAGGATCACTGGTGCTAGCAGGAGACCCATGTCAACCTCTGGAGTTGGGTCTCTCTCAAGGTTCACACACCCCTGGCCGTCCCAGACATCCCAGACAACCCTGGACTCGCACACCACTCGCCCCAGACACCTCACGGACGACAGGGGCCAGGGAGGAAGCCTGTCCCGTCATGTCCGCGCAACGGATCCTGGCTCTTGGCCAGGTCGAGTGAGACAAGTGGAAGTGGACAAGGCCTGCGTGGAGGCGACGGAGCGTTCCCACTCTGGTGGGCTCTCTTGCCTATCGGTCGATTTGCTCGTCGATGATCTTGGGCTTCATCGTCCTACTTATCCTGCCACGGCCCCCCGCCGTTACCATCAACTCATCCATATGATCGGCCACCCTTGAGCTTGTATATCTTGTTGTTTTATACCCTCCATTCTCCCTTCTTTTGCGACTTCGTCTCCATCGGAAACTCGTTATATTTCTTCGAGATTCCTTCCCTTCTTTTGCTCGAACATTCGCAACCATCACCTCATCCCTCCCACCATCGCAACAGTCTAATAGTTAATCACTACTACCAAGACTACCATCCATTCTTTGCACCGGATCTGAAGGACGACCTAACGAAGAACCAACCACTCTTTACGTGCCTCACCAATTGCCTGGGCAATTGTATAATACGGAATACAACTTATACAATAACTATAACGTTTAATAACTAAATACTCTATTCGAAGCCACCGCAAGCTCTTCTCTCACGAGGTTAGACAAGCAAGCCAAAAAAGAACACCACTGTTACAGAGGACATGTTCAAGAGCTGACACATTCCTTGGCTCAGCAGAATACAATGGACGGCATGATGTCTCAAGCTATGGGACAGCAGGCGTTCTACTTCTACAACCAAGAGCACAAGATGGCTCCCCGACAACTCGTTTTCGCACAGCAGATGGCCGCCTTCCAGATGGTGCCTACACTACCTCCCACTCCCATGTACTCGCGACCAAACTCCTCCTGCTCACAGCCCCCGACCCTGTACAGCAACGGTCCTTCAGTCATGACTCCCACAAGCACACCTCCTCTGTCCCGGAAGCCCATGCTGCTGGACACCGAGTTTGGCGACAACCCTTACTTCCCCTCTACACCTCCTCTGTCCGCCTCTGGAAGCGCCATGGGCAGCCCCAAGGCATGTGACATGCTGCAGACTCCCATGAACCCCATGTTCTCCGGTCTGGAGGGCATGGTCGTCAAGGACAACATCGATGCCACCGAGAGCCTCGTCCTGGACTGGGCCAGCATTGCTTCTCCACCCTTGTCGCCTGGTAAGTGATTCTGAAATTAATTTCCGCGTCGAATATTCCTTTCGCCGTTCCAAATTTAAAAAAAGAAACGGAAAAGACGCTTTAATGAATACTGGGGCGGGGCAAAAGGCTAATCCACATTGGGCAGTGTACCTTCAATCTCAGGCTAGCAAGGTGCCTTCGCTTACCTCAAGCCCGAGCGACATGCTATCCACAACAGCTTCATGCCCTTCTCTGTCTCCCTCGCCAACTCCCTACGCGCGGTCCGTCACTTCTGAGCATGATGTTGACTTCTGCGATCCCCGCAACCTGACCGTCTCTGTTGGCTCCAACCCCACCCTGGCTCCGGAGTTTACCCTGCTGGCTGAGGACATCAAGGGCGAGCACATGCCCGCCGCCGCTGCCCAGCCAACCTTTGACTTCAACCCAGTGCTGCCCAGCGGTCTGCCGACCTTTGAGGACTTCTCTGACCTCGAGTCGGAAGCCGACTTCAGCAACCTCGTCAACCTCGGCGAGATCAACCCTGTGGACATTTCCCGCCCCCGAGCCTGCACCGGCTCTTCTGTTGTGTCCCTGGGCCACGGCAGCTTCATTGGCGACGAGGAGCTGAGCTTCGACGACAGCGAGACCTTCCAGTTCCCTTCTCTGCCTAGCCCGACTTCCTCCATTGACCTCTCAGACGTCCACCAGGACAAGAGACAGAAGAAGGACCGCAAGGACGTCAAGCCCATCATGAACGCCGCTGCTGGCGGTTCTCAGTCTGGCAACGAGCAGATTGGCGCCACTGAGGCTGCCTCTGCCGCTTCAGACTCCAATGCCTCTTCTGCTTCTGATGAGCCTTCTTCCTCCATGCCCGCCCCCACCAACCGCCGCGGTCGCAAGCAGTCACTGACCGAGGACCCTTCCAAGACCTTCGTCTGTGATCTCTGCAACCGACGCTTCCGTCGCCAGGAGCACCTCAAGCGACACTACCGCTCTCTCCACACCCAAGAGAAGCCTTTTGAGTGCAACGAGTGCGGTAAGAAGTTCTCTCGCAGCGACAACTTGGCTCAGCATGCCCGCACCCACGCTGGCGGTGCTATCGTCATGAACCTCATCGAGGACGGTTCCGACGTGCCTACCTATGATGCTGGCATGATGACTGGACCTGTAGGAGATGACTACAACACCTATGGAAAGGTCCTCTTCCAGATCGCATCTGAGATTCCTGGAAGCGCTAGCGAGCTCTCTTCAGAAGAGGGTGACCAGGGCAAGAAGAAGCGCAAGCGCTCGGATTAAATGGATAGCACCTGCTTTCACAGGTGGTCTATGACCATCTTTATACACGCCTGACATGATTCACTTTTATCACACACTTCTTGCTTCGCTTCGGCGCAAGCCCTATTTCTACACATACACTTTTGCTAGAGGAGGACATCGCACTATACAGGGAAAAAGCTCAAGCGGATATGATTGCATTTTCAAACCTTCAGTTCTTGTATCGACTTGCAACATCATACTGATGATTATTATTTTTTACATATCGGGAAGACACTTCTCGATATTTCACAATTTTTGCATCATGACAAAAAGTTCGACAGAGGCTCGAACTCGGAAGAGGAATTCTCGGACATGATTTTGTTTGTTTTGGCGCGCATGGCGGACTATTAGATTTCTTACTTTTTATATCTGGCGGAAACAACGACGGTATGCTAATCAGGTTGGCTGCCCCTCTTATTGCACACTTGGTGTGATAATCCATCGCGAGCGATGGCTGGAAAGGTCGTTTGCCATGGCGGGAATAACTGAAACATTAGAGAGGGCACTTGGGAAGCATTTAGGCCAGTGGGAGGATCGCACCGCCCTTCATTGGAGGTTGATTCCTTTTTCTTTTAGTACAAATATTTTTTTGTGCTGCTCATTCTTGTGGGCAAATGGGTTATGGCAGGGTGTGCGGGTCACATTTTTTAGAAGTTTTACTTGACGCTATGCCAACCAATAAGAAAAAACACTGTTGCTAATTAATACTGAATTGTGCCTTGAAGATGGTGACATGTTTGCCCTTGGCCAGTGAAGTGTTATGTGTGAACGTGGAGAAAGATATAGATTTTAGACTTGGGACTTGGGACATTTAGATATTTAGACTATAGAAGATAGAAGAAATTCACTTGTTGAACTGAACTGTTTTCTTGCCATCATGATGTTTACGACTATATAATTGTGGTGTTGATGTTTGTGTTACATGCAGACTACTGTGACTATCCCGCAGAACTTGGACCAACCATCACGTACATACGTACCATTGCGTGCTGGGATTTCACAGATAACGTTCTTACCACGCGGCTTGGCCATACCTGTATGAAACGAATGCCTCGCAGCATACGAGCTGTCCAACAACGTTCACTCGGCCGACAAGAGTTACGCTCTCAAGCCGTTTACCCGACAACCCCCATGAGACTCACCTGCAACAAACCAGACCCCAAACCCTCGACGCTCAAGGGGAGGGCATCCAAGGAGAGAAGGGGGGAGGGGGGAGGGGGGAATCGTTTTGACAGGTCTAATTTGTGACATCTCTCGTCTCGGACAGAACGGGTGAATGGAACGGCCAAAAGAACGTTCATGGAAGAAGTTGGCCGGCGAGAGTGGGGATTTGCGGCATTACTGTTGCTTTGCTTCTCCCTTATCTGGGGAGGGGAGGCAGCCGTATTGGGAACCCATGCCTGCCTGGTTCTCTCTAGGTGAGGCGTAGAGTTCAGCTCACATTTTGGTTTTCCTTCCATGGCGCTTCTATACATGTGGGGATGTATACTCTTCCTCTATTTGTTCTGCCTGGGGTGGAAGACAAGACCCTTGCCTCGAGTCTCCGGCCCCATTGCCGGTCAAGGGCCTGGTGGCACCGTTTGAGGTCGGTATTGGGGGTCCCTGCCAGGCACAAGTGCTTTGGGAAACGAGCAAAAAATCTCCTTCGTGGTGTGTTTGATCCATTCCGCGGGGACGCTACCTGGAGTTGCCAGAAATGTGAGCCGTCACATATTCGCTCCAGGATGGGCTGGCTCGGTGGCTTTCTTGGAGAGCGAGATAACGCTAGCCATGGCCTTTCTGTCCCCTTCGGCGTAGTACGAGTATGAAATGTACAGGCACGGAGCACGATACGTGCTGGCACAAGTAATCCGCGCCAACTCCATATCTGCGATGGAGCTAATCTCTCGCGCAATCTATCCGGGGCCCGGGTATGGCCCGTCTGGTCCGTTGAAGAAGGAACGTGCCTGGTCCAGGGAGCACTCTTTGGGAAACGCGGACGCCCTAATTTGGGAGGGATCATGACAAGAGAACCCCCCCAGTCGACAAAAGGTACATGGAGTAGCACGTACTAGACTACCGAACGGTCCCTGGACTAGCTCGAGCTGTGAGGCAGCTTCGAATTTAGGCATGGGGTGGCTCTCCGGAAGGTGGAAATGAAAAGAGTCAAGATGGACTACTCCATACTTGGACAGGCGAAAGCTTGGCCACGACCTTGACGAAAGCACCGGTGGCGTTCCCACGGTGGCGGCAAATTAATGAGAGGCGAAGCAATGGCTGCTATTTTGAGTGGTAATTAATTAACCTGACGGCGAGCCGGTCAATGGTCGGTGGTGAATTTGGGTACCTGGACCGTGGCGCTGGGCCTGCCAAGCGAAAAAGAACAATTCGTCGTCTCGACGCGAACAAGACGTGCAACACGTGCGCCCGTATTGGCTCCACAGGCAGAGAAGTACGGAGTTCGGAGTGTGTTCGTGGGCTGTACTCGTACGAGCATGTTCTCGGATCTAGCTGGAAGACGTCTTATGCCGAGACCTCTGCGGAGCCTTTTCCTTGGTGAACATCCTTCGAAGATTGTTCTCTGCGGGCGTTTTGCTAGACTCGGCCGATAGCAATCGCTCAACTTTCCCATCGTCAGCTCACCGGGCGAACACCATAAGCACCAATTGACCTTGTCTCCGTCCAAGCTTCCCTATGCTGTACAAGTACTAGCACTCTGGTACTATTTGCTAGCATGAAGCAGCCATGGTGTAACCTGGTATTTGGAGCAAATCAATGGATACCCCCCACAGAAGGCTAAAGGCCGTAGGCCAGGGCTTGAGGGCGTCTCTCATCACGGTGCCTGACTCAGTGCCTCATAGCAACGCGAGTAATAGTTTAATAGAGAGCGACTGCTAGCCTGCGCACGTGCTCTCATAGCAATCTGCCGTCTTTTTGGCCAGCGTATACTAACGCCGAGAGCGGGTGAAGCGTCGTGTTGGTGGTAGGGAAGATCGCCGTAACTATCGTAGCTTCGTGCGGAGTAGAACCACGCTGATGACGGAGGATGTGTCGTTAGTTTGCCAGCCATGATAGAGCCCTCTTTTGGCGTGCCTAGTGAAGAATATCTCCCCGAGCTGAATGAGTAGATTGTGGTAGTTTCCCTGCTAAGTATGTTAGCGTAAATGGCTTTATCTTCGAGTTGAGATTGGGGCTTGACGTGATGTACTCGTACGAGTCGCGGTTATCAGCGGGACGCTGTTGATCTACGACACTCCGCACGAATCAAAGGGAAATGGAATTCCAAAATGAGAGAAGACGTTCCATGCATGTCTTATCTAGCGTATTTACATAAAAAAGTATGATAGTAGTTAATATTCTTATGTGTGTTCGCTCAAGAGTATAATGATAATGCTGTTTGGTAAAATGGTGTAATGTTGGTGGAGTGTGTAGATGTGATAACAGTAAGGTGGACGAAAAAAAAAAAATACTCCGTGCTCTGGTAAGGCGCAAAAAAATGCACGTGAGATGCAAGATGCTCATTTTCCCACAACGTCGCAACGCCGCTGCAACTACGGGATTAAGTGTAAGCTCCTGAAAAAAAGATGACGTCCGAATCACTAAATGTCATTGCGCTTATTTCAGGAGGCAAAGACAGCTTCTTTAATCTGGTTCACTGCATCCGCCATGGGCATCGCATTGTGGCTCTGGCGAACTTGTTCCCTGCCGTGGATGGTGCCAACGAAGCTGTAGAGGATGTCCAATTCATCGACCCAGAGCAGCAGACTTCAAGAGCTACTGAAGATGAGAGCGCCCATGAGGAGGATCTGAATAGCTTCATGTATCAGACGGTTGGCCATGAGGTCATCCCGCTCTATGCAGCAGCAACAGGCATACCCCTCTATCGACAGCCTATCCGTGGCGGGGCACTACATCACGAACGGGACTATGATTATTCGTCTGGGGGGCAGAAGGCCGATGAGACAGAATCAATGCTGCTTCTGCTAAAGGCCATCAAAGCTCGCCACCCAGAGGCCAACGCTATCTGTTCCGGGGCCATCTTGTCAACTTACCAGCGCACTCGAGTCGAGTCTGTTGCGTTGAGACTTGGCCTCACCCCACTGGCATACCTCTGGAAGTATCCCGTTCTTCCATCTCCTGAGAATGAGGTTGCAGATGATGCTCAGTTACTGCGTGATATGGCTGTGGCCGGACTCGATGCTCGAATTATCAAGGTTGCAAGCGCCGGACTTGATGAAAGCCACCTATGGGAGCGAGTGTCGAGCACCGAAGGAGTACACCGAGTGAAGAGTGCTTTGAAGAAGTTTGGTGCTCCTCAAGGAGCTGCACTGGGCGAGGGAGGAGAGTTTGAAACGCTTGTCTTGGATGGGCCGGCTTGGCTGTTCAAGAAGAGAATATCTGTCCCCGAGGAAAGACGGCGAGTTGTCAACGAAGGAGGGGGCTCAGTTTGGTTGATGCTTCGGGGAGCTCAACTTCAAGAAAAAAACACAAATGTCGATGACGATGCGAGCCCAGAATCGTCTGTTAGGATTCCTGAATTATTTGATGTCAAATTTCATACCATCCTGAATACGGTCATGAGTGCAAAGTCGGCCGAGGGCAGCGGGAAAGAAGTCTCCGGAGCTCTCACACCACGAATTTTGGGCAAAGATTTCCCCACGACTTTGGAAGAAGATGACGACTTTCTTCGATTTTCTGTTCTAGCCAAGTCTTCTGCAGGTTGCATTTTGATTGAGGCAGAAATGCAGTCCATCGTTGGCCAAATTGACAGACTCCTTTCCTCCTCATCTCTTGATGCGGCCCAAATAATCAATACCACCATCATCCTTCGTCACATGGCAGACTTTCCAAAAATCAATACAGAGTATGGCAGGCTGTTTACAAGGCCAAACCCACCATCTCGAGTCACTATTTCGTGTGGCCACTTACTTCCATCTGGCTACAATGTCATGGTGTTCCTCACGGTCCCGAAATCAGGGGTAAATTCGCATAGAAATGGGCTCCATGTTCAGTCCCGGTCGTACTGGGCACCGGCGAATATTGGCCCATATAGCCAGGCTATTGACGTTGCTTTAACAGCAAAAGCAGAGGCCAGCAGTCTTCGGGGCATCTACATTGCCGGCCAGATCCCCCTTATCCCCTCTTCGATGGTTCTGCCGCCTCCATCGAATGTCAGTCATGGTATGCAGATTGTCCTCTCGTTACAACATCTCTGGCGAATTGGGCTTGAGATGAAAGTCCAGCTTTGGACAAGCGCGGTAGCCTACTTTGCCAAATCATCATCGCCCGATGAAATGAAACGCAACGCCCAAGCAGCCGGCCTTGCGTGGAAGCTCGCTCATGGCTCACCAGAAGATGATGAAGATGATGGAAATGAGCTGGACCCTTGGGATCTGAAGTACAACTTTCAACACATGACACTGGCGGGCGATGAACAGAAGACTCGCGCACGACTGCCTGACTGGACAATTTTTACGCTGAGACAGCAGAACGAGCCGGAATCGTGCATCCCTCCCGTCTTCGCGGTCGAAGTGGAAGAGCTTCCTCGACAGTCTACGGTGGAGTGGCATGCTCATGTTGGCCTATCGCAAATCGAGGAGAGCAGTGTAGAGATTATCTATCATCCAGAAACTCCATCGTCCTGCTGGAGGGCATGGCATGTATTCATTCGGTCTCCGAAGGCTACATTGGTGTATACAACTCTAGCCCATGTCCCGTCACGGGATCACAACAGCACCGATTGGGAAGCTCTGCAAAAGGAACTCTCAGCCTCATATGCGGGCTCAGTTCGGGCCCTCGGGCTGACGCCTCCAGTGCCCTCTCCAACCCCTCACCTGGCCTATGTAGAGGTCACCAGCGTCACATCCCTGTGGTCGGATGTCGGCGATGCTGGGCCGTCGGTGCCTTTTGCGATGGTTCCGTGCCATACAATCTGGTCCGCCAAGGGAGAAAAGATAAAATGCGTGGCGATATATAAAACGGTTCTTGGACTGCCTCTGAACGAATAAATAAATAAAAAAAAAAGAAGAGTTTCCAATGATTGTGTCGCCAATGGCACTTGCTGTCTGTTGGAGTCTTTCGTGAAGTCTTGCACCGAGAGCCCCGACGAGCCGACGACCATGGCATGCAACCACCACCAGAGTACACAATGGCATATGGACCCATTGCCTGTCAGGCGATCTGCCGGCCAAGATACGATCTTCTCTATATCTGGATCTGCGGGCAACACTAAGAGTTCCTTGTGACTTCTTAGTTGGAACTCCTCAGGCTCTCTGAGCAGCGTGGTGTTTGATTCAACCTGCCTTACAATGCCGTTGACAACCCACAAAATATGAACCGTGTGTTCATATCATCATCGATGTGACGGAAGAGACTTGCAAGGCTGAAGCCAAAGCGACGCCTCTAGTATTTACTACCATAGCTATATTTCTCTGGTATCTGCTACCATGACGCTCGTCCACAATGACGCAGCGGCGGCTGGGATCGCGGCGCTGCGGATCTCGCTCTTCATTTTAGCTGACGGAGACCAAGTGGCCACTCACGACTGCTGTGGGCGAACTACGCCTTGCTTGTACATGAACTTAGCTATGCCGCGCGGGAGCCAATTTATTTTCTTTTAATTCCTCTTCCTGCTCCTCTGCTCTCTGGGCTCGGGCGCAATGCTTCAAACAGCGTCTCTCGCCACAGTCTGGCTCTGCCCGTGCCGCCACTCTGAACTACAATCACGCAACCAAACCTTAGTTTAAATGCGCCGCTCTGCGCCCCCACAAGAGCTTGTGCGCATGTGCTGTGGCACTCAGTTCAAAGTGGTACTGCCGAGTCAAGTGAGACGTGCACCCTGGTCGAGGCCGTGACCATGGCTTCTCACCCTCAGACCAACGAGCTTGACGCATCTGCCTCTGCAGTGGCATTGCCGAAGAAGACGCTATCGAGGGCTGACCTGCATCGTCGTCAGTCGGCAGACGAGCGGATTAACAACATTCTCGAGGTGAGACGAGGCCACCCTGTTTTTGGTTGAATCCTTTGCTTAAAGGCGGGTGTCTTGTGCGTGTTTCCCCCCATCTTGTTGACTCCATCCCCATCTCCAACATCGTCTGTACCAAAAAGCTCCAGGCATCGTCTTTGACAAGGAGGACTGCGCTACGCGCTACAACTTGTCAATTCCGCTACGTTCATACGCAGAAGAAAAAGAACATGTCGCTAACAGCAATCGCAACGACAATACAGACGGCTCTGCAACGAGCAGAAACGATGGATCCCGCCTCTCTAAGTCTTCTCCAGAAAGGCTCTTCCCACAATTCCTCTCCCAACTATGGAGCCTCCGGAACAGCGACAAGAGGGGTAATGCAAAACTACCAGGCGGTACCGACCAGCGATGAAAGCGATGCCACCCGTCCGAGAAAGGTTTCATACAGCGATGCGGCGAAGAAGGCCGGGAACCATGCGAAGAGCCAGAGCTCTCTGAGGCAGCGAAACGGAGTCTCCGGCTCGGAGGATACAAGATCGCCAACAAAAGCAAAGTCGTCATGGACGAAGGAAACATTTCGAAAGTTTCAGTCCCTTCAGTTGGAAAACAAGGGAAGCGTGGCTAGAGATCACCTGGCTCTCGGTATGTCGCATGCGTACACAGCAGCTGAGCTGCATGTCTCAAGAGAACCAATTGGCTGACCATTTCATTTTTTTCCCCTTCTAGAACGCACATTTCTAGCATGGCTTCGAACCTCTCTCGCTTTTGCATCGATTGGCGTCGCCGTGACGCAGCTATTCCGCCTCAACACCGATAACGCTTCCGCCTCCGATTTCGACCACACAAGGCTACAAAAGATGGGACGCCCGTTGGGTGCGACATTCCTCGCCATTAGTATTGTGACTCTGCTCCTCGGTTGCAGACGATATTTCCATGCCCAGGAATGGATTCTTCAGGGCAAGTTCCCGGCAAGCCGAGGGACCATCATTATTATGTCACTGGTGGCATTGGCCCTCATGATTTTGTCTCTAGTGGTGGTCATTGTCATCCGGCCATCATAGAGGCTTTGGGCAGCTATGGAATCACCGACTTTTGATTGTTGATTTTCTTTTGACCCCCTTTTGGAATGAAGAATGATATATGGGCTTGGTACTTGTGATTTAGGACAGCATTGGGTTTAAAGCATGTGATTAATGGGTTTTGGTGTTTTGGACTTTGCAGGGTAGATGTTTGCATCATACCTGCATCGATGTACATTTGCAATGGATAGAGGATATCTCTTCACTGATACCTAATTGAATTTGGACCAGGAGACTACGGTAATTACTCTTCACAGAAAATTGACACCTTATCAATTGGCTCATATTGAGGCTTGTGCACTCTCGAATAAGATCGTGAAGATATGCTGGTCGGCTCTGATCGATAAGCTGTGTGATACGTCATGACATGACTCTGTACTACTAAGAGGTAGCTACCTAAGCTGGCGCTCCAAGTCTGCTTTCTAACATCCCGTGTCTCAAATTAAAAGCTATATAAGTAGAGGGTGATGAATACTGGAAACTAAAAGAATACATATGTAGCTATAGTGGCAGATACTTGAATGACCGCACACTGTCGCTGGGGTGCTTGCTAAAGTAGCTACCAGGTCGTAGTACAGCACATTATTTGGTGGGGTTGTTAAGCTTTGTCACCAACCGCATCTCATACACTTCCATACCATCTGGAGCTCTCCCTCTTTTCCTACGGCTGTCCGCTGTAGCTTTCACAATGTCGCCCAAGGAACCAATAGACGTTCCCTCTTTTGCGGCGACTCAGCTTGCGCTTCTGGATCAAGAGCTGCAGAGTGAAATCCAGGAAACGAGCTCTCTCATCTCCAACCACAGCCCCACGGGTCTACAGCGCGCTGGCCTGGCCATCACGAATCTTACCATCTCTTCTCAGAGAACAGGATTAGGAGGCAAGACGGTGCTGGAGCTGAGTCCCGATAGTGCAACCTCAAGCACGGGAGAGCTGCCAGAACATGGCATTCGGACGGGGGATATTGTCCTGGTTGCAGAACAGCCGGCGGGAAGCGCAAAGAAGAGAGAGGTTAAAGAACTCGAGAGAAAGGGCGCCAGAGGTGTGGTGACGAAGGTGCAGAGGGCAGCTGTGAATGTTGCACTGGATGAAGGCAAAGACGAAGTCGTGTTCGCGGGGAGAGTCTGGATGGTGAAATTGGCAGATGAGGTTACTTATCGACGGTAATGAGAACGAGACACGAAGTCGAGGACGACGAACTGACAGCTGCCAGCATGAACCAAACAATGGAGAAGCTACAGAAGATGGGAGAGGCAGAGTACTCGAGTTTTATAAGGGTGCTGTTTGGGCTGTCGAGTCCGTCTCCAGTGCCGCAGAACCTGACGACGAGTGACGAGGTTGGAAATATTGAGTGGATAGACCCGACATTGAATAATTCACAAAAGGATGCCATTCGGTTTGCTTTGGCATCTCGAGAGGTGGCTCTCATTCACGGACCTCCTGGGGTAAGTCGCGGTTGGCTGCCTTTTTTTTTTTTTTTCTTTACGAGGTGCTTTGGATGATGCTGACCTATCTTAGACAGGCAAGACTCATACGCTGATAGAACTGATTCTGCAAATGATTAAGCGTGAACAGAGAATACTAGTCTGCGGCCCGTCCAACATTTCTGTTGACAACATTGTGGAACGACTTTCTCCACACAAGATACCCATCCTTCGCCTAGGCCATCCTGCTCGGCTCCTGCCATCCGTTCTTAACCATTCTCTAGACGTACTCACGCAAACCTCTGAGGCTGGGGCCATAGTCAAAGATGTCCGTGCCGAGATGGATGCGAAACAGGCATCGATTAAGAAGACCAAGAGCGGCAAGGAGCGGAAGGCCATATACACTGATTTAAAGGAGCTACGTAAGGAATATAGAGAGAGGGAGAGGAGGTGCGTCAGCAATCTCGTCGGTGGTAGCAAGGTTGTCCTTGCAACGCTTCACGGAGCGGGAGGTTTCCAGCTGAGGAATGAGCAATTTGACGTGGTCATCATCGACGAGGCGAGCCAGGCCCTGGAGGCACAATGTTGGGTTCCATTGCTGTCGGCGAAGAAGGCTGTCTGTGCTGGTGACCACTTACAGCTGCCGCCGACAATCAAGTCTCTCAATTCAAAGGTCAAAGCAAAGAGTAAAGGGGGAGATGAAAATGCGTTGCCGGTCATCAGGGGCATGACCCTCGAGACGACTCTCTTTGATCGGCTTCTGGCCCTGCATGGACCATCTATTAAGCGCATGCTCACGACGCAATATAGAATGCATGAGAAGATTATGCGTTTCCCGTCAGACGAGCTGTACGACTCGGAACTTGTAGCAGCCGATGCGGTAAAAGCAAGACTGCTAAAAGATTTGGAGTATGACGTTGAGAACAATGAAGACACAACAGAGCCAGTCATCTTCATCGATACTCAGGGGGGCGATTTCCCAGAGCGCAACGAAGATGACGATAAAGAGAACCCTAAAAAGGGTAGCCTGCACGGGGAGAGCAAGAGTAACGAGATGGAGGCAGCGCTGGTTCGCCTGCATGTAAAGCAGCTGGTCGAATCCGGTGTCCGACCCGAGGATATTGCCGTCGTCACTCCGTACAATGCACAGGTATGTTTCTCGAGAGTTGGATCCAGTATAGGAGCTACGAGGTTAGGGTTGTTACACGTTGGAATAATGCTGACTGGCGAGATCAGCTTGCTGCGCTTGCCTCGTTGAAGGAGAAGTTTCCGGGCATTGAGCTCGGAAGTGTGGATGGCTTTCAGGGGCGCGAGAAGGAGGCTGTGATTGTGAGCCTTGTGCGCAGCAACCCTGATGGCGAGGTGGGCTTCCTGGGGGAGAAGCGACGACTTAACGGTAAGTCTTTGAGCGAACATGAATTTTTGCTTTTTCCGTTTATTTTTAGCCATTACAAGGCAAGAAATGGCTGAGCAAAGGGAGAGAGTGCGAGTTCACATGCTAATACCCTCAATTACAGTCGCCATGACCCGTCCCAAGCGGTCATTAACCGTCATTGGAGACTCCGAGACGGTCAAGAGGTGCGTTCTATTCGCTGAATTCTACTGGCTTATGACATAGAGAGGTGCTGACTTTACTTTTCTTCTTTTCAGGGGGAGCAAGTTTTTGAAAAAGTGGATGGAGTTTTTGGAGGAGAATGCCGATCTGAGGTATCCTGATATTGCAGAGGTTAACCGAGAATGAAGAAAATGAGGCTATACCAAGCTATACCCCATGCAAAAACTACGAAAAGGTACAACAAAGACTTGAATGAGCCGGAAATAATTCTCTACAGCCGCGGCATCAATTCAACACTTTACAACTCTACTGGCTATGTCGAAAAAAAAAGAGATTAGATAACGAAGGTAACATTGGACGACCGGCGCGGCGGTTACGTGTAGATAACTCGCACGCTGGATTAAAATTAGAGTTAATTTCACGTGGCTCATCTGTTTGCGATACGACGGCGGACGGTGTTTCCTGTTTCCGACGGGCATTGGGCCCGTTTGCTGTCAAATCTTGGATCAAGAGCACCCAGGCAACTTTTTCATCCGAACATCCGGCCTGTGTGTAACCGTGCAACCTACCGCAGCCGTGGGTATGAAGTGGGATCTGGGATTCATCGATCACTCCAAGCATGGCTCGAATGGCTCTCGTACCAATAGGCAGCAGGTTCTATGACTTCCTGGTACCCGAGATGATTGTGGACAGGGTTTTGGTAAATGATGTCTGACAGTTTCTAATGGCGGCCGGTATTCTCTCGAGAATCGCGCGAATCGTTCCAAAGCTGGTGATATGTCATGTCGCTTAGGAGAAGCGTCTTCTTAGCAAAGAAGCCTGAACCCTGTCGACCTGTCAACCTATGTCGAGCGGAGAGGTCGGTAATAGGCAGCGGCAATGATACAGGTATTTGTGAGCACCTGAATAGACAAAAGATTCACCTCGCAATCTCAGGCTAGCATCTAATAAGAGCATGGCCATCGCGTGGTAGGTGAGATGAGCACGGCCCTCCCTTGCATTCTTTCTAGAAAAGAGGCTCCAAGAGCACGCGGATCTGCGCATGAACCACACGCATCAACCGCCCCCTGGTCCAGATCTCCAGAATGGCCTGAAACGATTGGGCAGCGCGACCAGTGCAACAGGGCTGGCTGCCACTTTATGCTTTGCATAGTGCTAAGTCGGATAACGGCCCCGGCTCGGGTGCCCGCATGATCAAGGAAACAAGAGGAAAAGGGCAAAAAGTAAAAGGGAAAAGGGAAATGAAACGGGCTAAGAAAAGAGGCATTGGGGGCCGTTATGCGATTGCCAAGCACTTTGCTGAGTTGGTATCTGCAAACGCCAACGGGGAAGCGTCACATCCTCCACCTTGAGATTTGTGGCCTGCATGGTCTGACCAGGGGGGCTCGTTTTACTTGGTTCCTGGGGAGGTTTGCTTTGATGGAACTCGCGCGAATTGAAGCACAAAACGGCCGGTGCCTCGAGCATCAAAGAGCCTGCAGCTTGGTCGGAGCAGAGCCTCGAAGAAGGGATTGACGTCCGTTGGCAGCTGTGGAACGAACCAGGCATGCATCTGGCACGGTAGCGCGGCTCATTTTGTCAGTTGTCACATCACCCTGGCGCCAATTTGTGAGTCGATTTGCTTACACGCTGGTGTTGTCCGCTGTCCGTTGGTACCTGAACTGTATTTTATTAGTCCGTAGTCCGCTGGCCGGGCCGAGTACTTGCAGGTACAGTATAGCAAATACGCTCAACTCGTATTAGCAGCAGGCGGCAATAAGAGAGATGGAGGTGAAATTGAGCAGTGGCGGAGTTTGGAATGGAGTTTGAGGGTATCCGGAGAGTATTTTTTTTTTACTGCCTTGGGAATTTGTACCAGCAGATTTGTAATCCTCAAGGTGCAGCTCGGTGATTGTTTGCACTTTCCATGGTACCTTTCTCCAGGTTCCTTCACACTGACCTCTGGCAGGTGTAGGACCTTGTAATTAAGGCACTGGGGGAAATACCACCTAACGGATTCACCACCGACATGAAGCTTCGCAGATCATCGTCTCTCACTTCATCCCCCTCCCTGCGTTACGAGTACTGTACTTACTCGTATCATGTCATCTTTTCTTGATCCATCTGGCAAGCCACAGCGCAAGAGCAGCTCTACTAGCGGCAGCTTTAGCTCTGCTGGTCTCAATAGGCTGTCAATGATTGCGGTCCCGTCGGCTTCAGCCGCCTGCTAGTCCTTGCAGCTACTGGGCGACTACGAGTAACTGCTGGAACAGCTCGTTGCTACCGCAAGCGCTATTGGAAATCCCGGCGTCGTTCGTGTCTGGTCGCTTACAAGCATTCGTACGAGGTTTTTGTACCTGTAAAGCAAGGAGGCCTTGTCAAGTCGCCGACTTTGGCACCGACCAGTTGCTTGCGAAAACCGCCATGCTGCCGCCCCAGGCTCCGCGACAACGCACCGAATCTGCACCCGCCGCGAGCCCCTTTCTTTGTTGTCGGAGTGCGGTCCAATCCCGAGGCCCCATGGACCCTCCCCTGCGAGAAACGTGGCCGGCATCTCTTGGCGGAGAGCCCTGCTGGGCAAAATGCACGCACGAGCCGTTACGAGTTGCAGGCAGCTGCGGCCATGGCAAGCCAGCCAGTCGAACGAAGTCGAGCAAAGTCGCCAGTCGTCATCGATATGCACGACTGCTGGTCTGGGCCATGAAGAGGCAATGCTTGCCGGCCATTGATTCGTCTGTTGTGTTTGTATGTGTACGAGTACAGTCGTGTGCCGCCCCTCGGCCGTTCCGTTGAAGCACAATCCAATCCACCACGGCAGAGGGGGGCCTGGCTACAGTATCGCTGCTGCAGCATCCTTGGATCCGGTGAGGGCCGTATTTCCACGCACGCGACTCTCGTTTGTGCTTGTGCTCCGTACTCCGTAAAGTACGTACAAGTTCAGTAGCGGCAGCGTCCCAGCATCTCCGTATTGCATTACAGGTTTTACTGCTGCTGGTATCAAGTGTACTCAACATACGGCGAGCGTACGAGTACTTGTACGGGCCCTGGTACGGAATTGCTACCCCAGTCCTCCGTAGAGGGAACCAGAGCGGCCGTCCTGATACCGGTACTCCGTACTCCATACGCTTCATATCTTGGGTGGCTCTTTGACCACGGATAGCGCGTTTCTGACCTGCCCTTCCTGGGCGTTTCAAGCTATGCGCCTCGGCGTGCTTCGATCCCAATCCCTCGCTAGCTTGGCTGCAGCTCGGGGCCATCTGGGGGATCCGTTAAAATACGGCCAGGGCGCCATCGTGTTTCATCCTCCGTCTTCCCAAGGCCTATTACACAAAGGAATTCGCCCCGGCCGTGGCCGCGAGCAATCGATCTCATTGCTGCTCCATACACCTTTGTGGCACTTCAACTTTTACAACTCCATTTCTTATAGCGACTGGGCCATGGCGCCGTTGGCCAGATCGCACTGACGTTATTTCGTGTCCCTCGTTTTTAATTGTGATACTATTTCCTTTATCTTTTGCTACTGCTGTTTCCCTCTGCCCCGCGGCTACCGCACAGGACGCTTCGACAAACGCCTGGACCAAGTTTACTCTCATCGCAGTGCTGTAACCTGGTAGACGATCCAAGAACCGAGGACTAAGAACGGCCTCTGCTTGAACCGACATGGTCAGCCGGCCTCACTGACGCCAAATTTAACATTGGTAGAACACGGAGAATCCGAAGCTTCCATCATCTGGTCCGGGAGCTCCTGCCTGGGCGGACGACAGCGAAGAAGTAAAAAGCAAACTCTCTGGGTCCATGGTTTCCTGCCGCTGTCGAAGCTTCTCACCATCGTCATCCGTGCTTTCTCTCCCAAACAATTCTCGACACTCATTCAACCTTCTCTCTTATTTCTGATAACTCTCATCTATTTATTTTCCTTTTTTCCTTGACTCTATTTTATTCGAATTCCATATTTCTCAGCATCTTTGCAAATAAAGATGCACCGAGCATCTTCAACACCTCTGCCTCCCCAGGGTATGCCCCGGTCGTCAAGCGCCGCAGCTATCAACAACAATATCAACCCCAAAGTTCGCTCTCAGACCAGCTCTAGGATAATTCGGGCCCAAATATCAAGCCCGATACCCATACCAGATCCCTTGGACAAGGAGCTGTCTATTAGACCACAAGACGTGAGCTTTTCCGGGTACATGCCTCAACACGGCAACGTCACGCAACCCTCCATGGATATCTCACGACCGTCAGCGGAATTTTCCCGCCGCCGCATTTCCTTCACACCTGAGCGATCTCGGTCAGTGCTCCGAACGGCCTTTAGCAGAATATTTGGCCGCAAGAAGGGACCCCGACCCAAGACAGGCCTGGCTTCAGCAGGTTCGGAGGAGGATAGGCAAAACGAGCAGTACAGTGTAAGTGCATCACTCACTTCATCAGAGAGTCGCGAGCTTCGTTGCAATCATTTACTGATGCAACTAAACAGGATCCTGTGCAGAGCACTTCTCCGGCCCGGAGCCCACCTACGAAAATCTCTGAACCCATTCCCGTTTCTGAATATGATCGGGCGTTACGGTCTCATTCTGTCGGCCCCGAGGATGTGATGGCCATCCGAAGTGCGCGCAGCCCCGTCAACCAAGACTTCAGTGGCCACGTAAGAAGACGCACCGGAACTGGCAGCGATGCTCACCCGGCCAGTGCTCGCTGGGTAAAGCCGACGGGACTGACCCCGCGTCCTGCCAGCACTCAGGACTGGGGAAGCAGGCTGGTTGATGATAGTCATGATCCCGAAGAGATTGGCCGTGCTATTACGACGGGTCTTAAACGCCGGTCTAGGAGCCTGTCGTTTATTCCTTTAATCGAAACTACCCCAGCCCCAAGCATTACACGGCGGCGCAGCGACGAGATTCCCCGCGGGTGGCGAGAAAGCTACGACCAAGATCCCGCATCCCCTATATCATCAACGGCGCCAGATGGCGAGGACCGGGCCACCTTCATTAGCGACAAATCAGACGACGAGTCTAAGACTGATGATGAAGCAGAGTTGCCGGATGAGATTGAGTCACCTGTGAAGCCTTTTACCTTTAGCAACATCCCTTACATGACAGAATTTGCCGGCACGAGCATGAAAATTACAGATGCTGTGAATCTTGAGACGCGAATTGGCCAAGTCGAGAATCGGTTAAGCCTGGTGGAAGGCCTTCTGACGCATGCCCGCCAAGCAACTCCAGTTGCTGGGTTGCCAGACGATGTGTCGGAACGATTGGCGCCGCCTGCGCCTGCGTGGCCGTCTACCTTCGCAACGGCGGTTCGTCCATCTTCTCATTCCTCTGCTCAGTTTTCTGGGACATCAAGACTCTCGTTTGGCGAGATACCGATCTATGCACGATCAGCAAGCCAACAAGCAACAAAGCAGCCCATGTTTGCTACCCCTGAGCGACCGGCGCTTGCGTCCAGTCTCCCCACGCTTTCCAAATCTTTTCCTACTGGATCATTCTTAATGGATCACGAAACTTACAATACGCTCCTAACTACAATGGAGAACGATCGTGCTGCTCGAATAGCATTGGAAGCGCAAGTAATGGAGCTCAGCCGGCAGGTCAGTCGCCTTTCCAAAGGTTTACCAAGCACTCGTGCCGCCCAAACGAAAGATGACGCTGCATCTCACCCCCTCGGGCAAACGTCCGTTTTCGATTTCGGAGACGCCAACGGAGACTTTGTAACAAAGGATGGCGGCTTGAGTTACAGGAGAGATCACAATGAAGATTCTGGCATAGGCACCGAAGCTGGTGACAAAGACTATCCCGAATCATTTGCCACGCTAAACGAGGAAAACCACAGCCCAGATTTACCATTCAGCACACCCAACGCGGCGTTGTCGCTTTCTAAGCTCACAATGATGGGTGGTATCCCGGTATCCCAACAAGCATTATCGCAGACGATCTAGATGACGTATGAATCTGGATCGCGATGAAAAGAAAAACAAAAGAACAAAAAAACGATAAACCAATTGGCATTTCATGACTTCTGGTAACTGCTAGCGCTGTATTACTTGTGTATTATATACCCCATTCCTACGATGTTGAAATCGTCTGGAATATTGTCTATAGCATTGTTGTTTGTGAGGCGCTGATGGGGTGTGATTTCGGGTTGGGCAAGGACTGGGGGCAATTGAGGCCCTTCAGGCAAGGATTGCACGCGGGACCATAGATAGAAGGATGGCTCGACAGTTTTTGTTAAGAAAAATAAATCATCTTGACCTTAAAAGGCACGTACAATTCTATTGTGATGTTTCTACGGGAAAGGGGGGAGCTCTAATTGATATGCTATTCCTGATATCATGTCGAGTTGAAATGACATATGTTTTGCTATTCCCTTTTAACGCCAGATAAATCAGCAGCCCTCGTTATTCGTACATGCCCATGCTCATCGAGTGTTTGGCTTAATTAGTATTTTATCATCCATAAGCCTGCTATTCCGTTAAGAGTGGAGTAAATCATCCCTGAGCCCCCAGCTGCCAACGAGAGCCATGGACTTTTCGTCTCCTGGAGCTAGGCGTTCGTCTTGGAGCGTATCGGCAAGGCATGTCCAAGGGTCACGGCCGCCACCCCACTTGAGAAGATTCTCCTTGAGACGCTCGCCGTTATCGCGGCCGATGGCAGCGCCGTCCTCGCCGGCGCGGAAGACGACACGCCAGACCCGTTCGGCGATGACGCGGTCGAAGAGGTAGCTGTAGTAGGTGCTGCCGTAGCTGTGCAGGTGGCCGAAGAAGCCCTGCCAGCGAGTCTCGGGGGGATCGCGGGGCCCGTGGGCGAAGCGGGCGTGGATGTCGTGGAAGGCGGCGGTGGAGTCGAAGCCTGGGGAGGCGACTTCTGGGGCGTGGTAGGCCTGGTCGACCATGGCGAGGAGGATCTGGTGCTCGGTGTCGATGCCCTCGAAGCGCTTGGAGACACGGATGCGCTCGGCGACGAGGTCGTAGGGCAGCGGCTGGTCCGTCTTCCAGTGGCGGGCGAAGAGCGAGAGCACCGTGCGGTCGGCGGCGAAGTGCTCCATGAGGGTGGAGGGGAGCTCGGCGAAGTCGGTCGCGCAGCGGGTGCCTGAGACGTTTTGGAACGAGGTGCGCGCCAGGATGGAGTGGATGGCGTGGCCCATCTCGTGGAAGAGCGTCTCGACTGAGTAGAAGGACAAGAAGGCCGGCTCTTTGGCGTTGTCGTTCTTGGGGAAATCACAGACGAGGGCAATGGTGGGCAGCTGCTTCAGGGTGCCGTCACGAGACGACGTCTCCATGCCGTCGTTGGCAGCTTGCTCGGCGGATTCGAAGGCAGGCATGTTGGGGCCGTTGAGGTCGGAGCTGACCTCGTCGATTTCGTCGGGGAGAATCTCGCGGGAGCATCGAACGGTGAAGTGGGCTGGGTTGGGAGACTTTTGCGGCCGGTAGAAGAGATCGCAGTATAGAACGGCCACTTGGCCGCCATTGTCGGACACGACGTCGAGACGCTTGACATCGGGATGCCAGGTTTCGCCCGGGAGCGTCTCCCGTGGAACGAGACGTATGCCATAGAGACGATCGAAGAGGCGGGACAGGCCCTGGATGACGGTCCCGACGGAGAAGTAAGCCGTCAAGTGATCGTCAAACCTGACCCGGGACCGCATCTCGGCTCGAATCTTCTCCATGTAAAAGTCCCTGTCCCACGCTTGGAGAGTGGCGTCCTGCATAGCTAGCCTCTCCTGCTTCTTCTGCGTCAGTTCGCTCAGCTCCTGCTGAATGATGGGAGCGTTGTGGTCCCTCAGAGCAAGGAGAAACTGCATCACTGAAGCGGGCGACTTGGCCATCATGCGGTCCTTGAGCGCCATGTGTCCGTGGCTCTGGAAGCCGGCGAGATTCGCCAATTCTGCCCTTAGCTTGAGCATCGTCTCCAGCAGCTTGATGGTCCGGCCGGATGCCCTCCGCTGGGCAAGATAGATTTCCTTGCGAGTCTCCTCGTCATACACGCTCTGCAGGGCGGCTGCAGCCTCGGAGCCGGTGGTGGGGACCGAAATGTTGGACCGGACCTTGAGGGATGCGGCGAGGCCGGGATATAAGCCGTAGAAGCGATGCGACGGCAGCGTCACCTCCTTCCGCTCCGGCTCCATGCCCTGGACAAACGCCGAACCGACGTCGCTGATGCGGGATGATAGCTCAACGAATCTGTCGCGAGCCGTCTTGGGCAAGTTGACGGCAGATTTCATGAAGTCGAGCTTGAGCAGCTCTGCCACTGTCTTCTCCTCCTCGGACCAGGTCGATGTAACCTCGGGACGGGACATGGCCTCTCCCAACTGGTCGCTCAGCCCGGTCATAGTATTTAGCTGATTCATGTACTGGTACACCATGGACCAGGCGTCTGCCGCCGCCTGTTGAAAGCGCACATCAGGGTGCGTCATGCGAACAAAGTCGGACATGTCGAGGACACGGCAGAGCAAATCGCTCAGCCGGTCAAGGTCCCGTACTAGCGATTGGTACTCATGAGTTGTCGAAGCGGCGAGCACTCGGTGGACGATCCTAGTCGCCCTCTGCAGGTTCTTCTGCGCAAAGACGAGGAATCCATCTGGACTGGTCAGGTAGCGATTCTTGAACAATCCTTGGCTCTTCTTCAGGCTGAAATTGGCAAACGTCCGGCCGGATGGGGCGTCGAATAGCTCGCGGAGAAGCGCATCGTCATGTTGAGAGCTTGTGAAGTGATCGGCCGGCAGCTTCGAAGCATCGGTTACCGGCGTCGCAGAGGCAGAAGCAGCAGCGGCAGCGGAAGCGCTTGACTCCCATCGAATATGCGGCTTAGGCTTGATCACGCGACGACAGCATCGGGTGCAGACCCGGAGGCGGGAACCCCCGGAGTTGAGCATTGCTAGCGTTGGGAATGAAGACGGAGATTGGGGGCATACGTAGAACTATTCGTCCTCATAGTATCATGCGTACAATCCGAGCAAAGGAGGTCCCAATTGCAGTCGAATGTGTTGTAACGAGGCAGAAAAAATCAAGGTGGGAACCGAAGTTCGGAGTTGCGACATGTGGTACCTTGAAGATGTACCGACGCGATCCCGAAAGCCGATATGTGCAACCGCCAAGCTCGAATTGATTCAAGATCAGTTGGATCTATTGAGGAGGGAGACTCAGATATAGTTGATAAGCATGGTTTAGATAAATATATATCTTGTCAACATATTAACGACAGCATTTTCCATTCCAAATGGACTTACTGGGGTTTTATTTTGGGCAGGCCAAGACCCCTCATTGTTTCCCAAAAAGAGGCACTTCACTTACACACACGGAAGTGATCGCTGATCTCGTGTCCAATTGTTTCCCAGGTTTACCGCGCTCTGGGATATAAGGAAAATGATCAGGATTATCAAGATTCCTGTAAGCAGAGAGGGTCATTGCTACCAAGTTGGCTGGATGGCCAGTCCATGCTTCCCATGCATGTTCTATATGAGGAGACTGACACAGGCCGTTACGTAGATCGGGCATACTTTCATCATCTTTGTCCATCCCACTGACTTGGGTCTCTTCCGGTGAGTCTAGTCATGTATTTCTTGGAAATTGTCGAGCAATGTAATTCTTGTAGATGAGAACGGCCCTCATCAGCTATAATAAGCCAGTGGACTTTCGATTGAAGAAGTGCTGAAAACTATCTGATATAGAACTGTCCAAACCAATACATTTTACTCGTTCATTGTTTTTTCGTACTCAAAATTGGATGAAGGTATATGTCTTGCACAGATATATATGGTAAATCTGGACATTTGCGTGTATATGAGAATACAATTGTTTTCATACATGTCGACCTACCAGAGACAGAACTGTATATCTATATTCTATTGGCCTCGCTCTTTCGTATCTGCGCGTGTAACATCCATCAACGCAATATGGGATAGGGAACTAAATAAAACTCGAATCATGGACTAATACTATATAAGCTGCCACGAGATACAGCATTAAGAAAGAAAGGAAAAGAGCAGAACAAAAATAGACCAAAGTTATGTTCAGTGTCCCATTGGATGATCTCCCCAATGCGGCAATATCCCAGCATGTTAGCCGCCGGGGCCGGAATTTCTCTGGCGCCGCCCGTCGGAATAGTGCGGGATCCTGGCAAGATCGCATGAGCCTTTTCAAAAATACATCATCGAAGTCAGTTTGACCACCAATTCGCCCTGCATCATGGCCGCGAGAGTGCTCCTGCAGCGGGTAGGCAATGCATCCAACATTCCGTTCGGCGGTACATGTCAGCTAATTGAGTCGTGATTCAGCGCTCCTTTGCGCCGCTGGCCGCAGCCGCCCTGGGCGGAATTGCTTTTTCGCCGGCGGTGGTCTTTGCTGAGGCTCCCAAGGTGTGCCCATGGCCTCGTGTCTCCTATTGTGTATAAAAAACGACAGCTTCTAATATACAATATCAAACACGCAGAGAAAGCCAATTTACGATGAAGTCGAGTTCCACTCTCCGCTGCCCGTAGCACCCTCACCACCGGCCGTTCTCCCCAGCCAGCCCATCAACGACAATGCCGACGAAGAGCCAGCGTCCCGAGTCCCTACTCCCACCGACCGACTGGCCGTCCAGATTGGACGCGCGCGCCTGTTCCTCTACGACGTTGCCGTGGCCGCCGAGAACAAGGTCAACCAGACCATGGATTCGGCCTTTGACCTGGAGCAGTCCTTCACCCGCACAATCGCCTCCCTGGCGCCCCCGCGAGAGAGCGGCGAGAAGCTCATGCCTGGCGGAATCTACGTCCTGGTCGCTGCCATGGCAGGCAGCATCCTGACCAGGAACCGAAGCATCGTCCTGCGCGCCACCCTCCCCTTCGCCCTCGGCGTCGGTGCCAGCTGGACGGTACTCCCCATTACCATGCGCAACGTGTCCGACTTGGCGTGGAAGTACGAGCAGAAATTCCCCGCCGTGGCCGAGTCTCACATCAAGCTGCGCGAGGGCATCCAGAGGGGAATTCATTTTGCAAAGGTTCACAGGGAAGTGGGTGTACAGTACGTCGACGACAAGGTCACCAACGTTCGTGAGGCGGTTGAGAACTGGGTTGCGCAGGGAAAGTAAAGCGGGGGGAAAACATGTGTTAATTTTAAAAAAGCGATTGTACCATCACATAGAGATTTTTTTTGTAACCTGTTCTACATCTCATTTTGTTCATATGAGAGCTTCAAAAATGGGTCGAGACGAGGCAGAAAATACAAAAGAGGGGCCGTGGGCTGCATAAAATACATGAGAGATAGTAAACAGACACACATATCAGAAGTATTCAGATCTGGTTCATATTCTCAAATGGCTCAACTATGTAAGTTCGTGTTTATCATGGGTGATGTGGTCACCACGCGCAGGACATCCCTCATGCTGCGTTAATTTCAAGAGCTGCCTCCCTCCCAAACTCCGCCCGTGATGCATCCTTGTGTCTCCCTCCTTTTGTCTATTAAGTTTCCTCCCCCTTCATCCAACAGAAGCAATGGGCAATGGTTCAGGCTCCGGCTGCGCGATGGCTCCTCGCTCCGATAGTGCCTTTTTCTGCTGTGTCTTAACTCTGGCTTGTCCTGTCTGTCCGCCGGCGGCTAGGGCGGCGGCATTGGATTTGCCCTTTTTCGACTGCTTCACTGGTGGCTTGTCGAGTCCCCGCCTCACGTCCGCTTCTCGAGCTTGCTCCATGAACTCTTCATGACCCAGCATCCGGCATACATCTGAGTAGCTCTTGCTCTGGGTCAAGGGCTGGTGAAGCCCGGCTTTCCCAGGCACCATCTGGGCCAGGAGATATTTTGTGTTGCCGAATCGGTTCTCGACATCCATGCATGTCTTGACGTACTCCTTGACAACTTCTTCCCAGGGAGCAAGGCTTCCTTCAGCCTCGGTCCTGAAGCAGCTGGGATTCTTCTCAGCGGATGTGGCAATCATGGCACCATCTGCGCCGAATTCCTTTGCTAATTTCAATCCTTCATCCTTGGACTCCACATCACCATTCATCAAGCAGGCCACGCCCGCCTCGTGGCAAATTTCGGCAACCATGCGCAGCTGGCCACGGATAGCACGCTCACGAGGTCGCATTGGCGTTGTTCTGCAATGAACCGTGAGTCCTGTGATACCTGTGGCAACAAGTTTCCTGACAAGGGCTTCGGTCTCGGCAGGCGTCTCAAGAATGCGAATTTTGACACTGATGCCGATTTCGAATTCAGGAGTGATGTTCTGAACCAGTTTCTCTAGGATTGCGCACAGTTTGTCTGGAGTTCGCAAAAGGGCAGCACCCATGCCTCCACTTGTGCTAAAGGGTTTCGGGCATCCAGCATTGACGTCTATGCCGGCAACATCTGCTGCGACCAATCGTGAAGCCTCCAATGCGCGATCCGGGTCCGAAGTTCCAATCTGAAAGATGAGCTTGCCCTTCTCCTTCTCGGGGTGAAGTGCGTATATGATATTCTCCTTTGCATCCGGTGGCGGTTCTTTCTGGCCGTGAGAGGCCACTCGGAACCACTCGACTGTCTGGGTGGCTTCGTTGTATCGTCTCGTCGTCCCAATCATTGCTCGATCAACTGTTTCCGGGCCTGGAGCAATCATGTCAGAAAACAACTTTATACCTCAAAAAGCAAGAAGGTTGCCTCATTACTCACCCCACACGAGATCAGCGCCGTACTTGAGCGCGAGCAGTCGAGAGGGAAGTTCTCCAGAGCGCACCATTGGCGCAAGAACTACCTTGCCGCGGTAATCCACACCGCGGCGAGGAATCGGGACCATTTTGACCTCTGAAGCCATGATTCTGTTCAGCAACCTCAGCATGCCACTTTGGCGCAAGGCGCAACGTGCAAGTTTCTTGCTTGATGACAAAATCCAAAATCCTGACCCTCCAGGTGGGATGCCACAACAAATGATTCAACTAGCGCTTATCGGCCATATCGCTTATCGATAACGGAATATCCCATAATTAAAATGGAGACTGCTCCGATGTGGATCCGAATTCGGAGCCGAGCTTTGAAACCTGTCCCGCCTTTGACTGATTTGCCCTTTCAGTTTCAGCCACCTGGATGTCTCTGTGGAAATGGGGACGGGAGTCAATATTGAGCCGCAAAGTTACGAATGCGCGCTCCTGGAATGCGCAAATCACTATGCAGCAACGATGGGAATGCACATAATCTTAAAAGTAGACGGACGGGGTTGTGACACAGGCCATGGGTAGATGAATATTGGCTAAATTGCTGTTGATAAGGCCTGCAATATTAGGAGAAATTAAGGTCGCGTGACAAGATTAACGGCAAACTTCATTTTGGCGGGGGGGCTGCAGGTAGATTGCTGCAGGTTGAGTGCGGTAGCATCCAAGTCTCGGGAGCGAGACAACATGAAGACCTCAATGACACAGTCAAGGTACATAGTCGCACAGCAACACATTGCCTCCTGTTAGGTGGTTAAGAATAGTAGCTGGTATTTTGGTTCCAGCATTAGTCAGGGCTATCGCATTTGGTGGAGTAGACTGAGAGGGCTGGGTCTGGAACAGAACAATTGAGACTATTTCAAGCATATTCCCCGACGGCGATACGGTATTCATTCGATTAGTTTGGCCGTCTGTTCGTGATGTGAGGCTGCGTCTATTTTTGTCGCAATGTGCCGGGAGGGTGTGCTAGTCCCAGGTGTCAACCCACGTTTACGAGGTCGATCTCGAGCGCACACAGATTTTCGACCATGATTACCTCGTGTTTGCCGATAATAGATCTTGATTCGTCGCAGTGGCGGCACACTTCGGATGGAAAGGGCTGTAATATTCGTAGATCATGTCAAAATTTTTACGGGCGCCTTTGAGCCCAGCGCCGACAAATCTTTTATTCGATCAACCTGATTGAGGATTTCGAAACATTGGAACCAGGTACTAATTTACATACAGTGAATATTTCGGCTCCATTCCTAGTCTCCTTTGTTGCTAATGCTAAACTTTGTTTACTTCAAGGGGAGACAAAGAGCCAGGGAACAGTATCGGGGGAAATAAACATTTTGATGATATCAAGTACGACGTACTAGCAGCAGTTTAGCATGCGCTATCCTTCAATACTCGGTTTGAGGTTCTGGTGGTCCTGGCGTTAGTTTCAGGGATCCGTTCCCTATTGAGGCATCCCGGCCCCAACATGCGGTTCTGGCGCGCAGGGGATAGGGGAGGTCCAACGTCAGAAAGCGGCACGTAAAGAAACGGGAATTGAATGGCCAGTTCCGTAACATTAATGCACAAGCAAACAAGTTTGGCAGCAGTACCACATGAGTGCTACAAGAGCCAGTTATTGCCTCAACTCAACTCGGTTCAGTTGTTGACTTCAACCCTGCGGCCACAAAGAGGTTCACAGCCTCCAGTCGGTACATCACCTGAAAGAAAAGGTACCGGCTAGCGACCTCCCCGAGCGAATTAGGCGCGCAGCCATGGGCTAGATCCACTCTAGCCCCCGAGACCTCAGGGGCTTGGTTGGTGGGGGAGAGGTCACTGGGGTCTTTGTGAGCAGAAAAAGGGCCCAATTGCTTCTACAGATTGCGGCTAGGTAGCACAAAGTGAGTCCATCGTAGTGGGTTCGATGGTGTGGCGCTTGCATGAGGGATGAGGGGAAAACGATGAAAGCACAGCAGTCAAAGTACGAGGCAATGTAAACAATGGGCGCTGAGAGCTGGAATACGAGCACCGTTTAAGCTCATTCGTATCAACAGCCGGCTGCAAGAATAGGGCTCCTGCAGGCGCTCTCTCGCTTGCAATGTACGGGCATGTACTCTCCAAGTACCAGACATTAGTACCTGCACCCCTGGGTCTTGTCTGTGATAAGGGTCTCCATCGACAAAGGGTTGTGGGTTGCAAGCTGTGGTCTAGCCGTCTTGAATGCTCTGAAACTTCCTTGTCATTCCCTGGACGCGCCGATCAAGTCCAATTGGATTCCCTCGTGACGACATAGCCAGTAAATCCCAATAATCTCTGTGTACCTGCCTCGACCGCGAGTACTAAACGGTACTGGCATATGTAAAGGCGGACGAGGTACTACCCGACCCAATACTACTTGTACCAGAGTGTGTCTGTCCCAAAAGGCGAGCTGGCAGCAATCTACACCACATTCCCGCCGCCCCATGCCAAGAGGGCCAGCCTGCACCTTTCTGCATATGCTGGCGGCCACAAAAAACATTCGGTTTGCAGCTTCGTCGTCCGTTTAGCATTGAGTTCCATTAGCCACAAGCACCTGGTCGCGCACGGGGAGTCAGACTCCTCGCTGCCAGTGTTTTTCCAGAGCCGGTGACGGGGGAACCAACCACGTACGAGTCCCCAGACCAGTGCGCCCCGAAATCCAGGAGACAGATAGAGAGAGACTGAGCATCTCCAGCAGAGCAGCATCGCCGACCCAGCAATGGAGAGCACCCAGTCTTACATGGCCGATGATGGCGACTCCAAGAAGAAGAGAGGCCGCCTCATGGGCAAGCTGTTTGGCAAGGACCGCAAGGCTGAGGAGTCGGCCAACGCTGCATCTGTAGATGCCTTCCTACACAGCTCTGCCGACACGCTCAACGTCTCCCATCCGCCGCCACCGATTCCTCCCCAGGTCTCGCTCTCGCTGCCCAAGCTAGACACCAGCATCTCTCGCTTTCCCCAAGCACTAGCTGTCAACCAACAGGCCCAGCAGAACCGCGCTATAGCTCCGGGCGCCGGCAATGACGTCCGATCTCCAAAGCGAAGCCCACGACCGAGTCGCAAGGGCCTCTCGGTGAGGTTCACGGAATCGTACCCCGAGGTCATGGGCGAAGGCGGTGACGAGTCCGAGACACCAACGATAGAGATATCGAGGAGAAAGAAGGACCGCCAGCAACCTCCCCCGCCGACACCGCCTCAGAGCCGGCCAAACCCACCTTCGAGCAGGCCCTCTTACTCCAACAACGACCTGTCGTCCTCGCAAGATGACTTCGTACCCAAGCCTATATCCCGAACCCAGACCGGCTACTCGTCCATCTACAGCCCTGAGCCCGAGTCCAGGCCGTTGCCAAAGACGAGAACCAATTCGTCGTTCTTGGAACCACAGAACCCTGGTAGAAACCAATCTCCAGGCCTCTTGGGGGCCCCCGGCAACACTGATGAGAATAGGAAGTCCTTCATCGAGATTCATCAGGCTCAGATGGCGCTGGCTGAGGGAAGAGCCTTTGCTAAGGCTGCCCGCACCGCCAGTGCAGCATCTGAGCATGATTGGGGTGAGAGGAAGTTGCCCTCATCCCGCGAGCTAAACGATTCCCCAGAACCTACGTCTCCCGAAGCCCAGGCCAGGCCAACTACC